TCGCATCGGCAATAATATCGCATTTAAATGAAGATTATTCGGCTTTAAGACGAATCAATCCGATCCGATCTTAAATTTGATGAAAAATATTTTTGTTTTATGTTTAATATTTTGAGTGCGTTTCATTAAAATTTATACAATCTCAAACAGACACGGAAGAAAAGAAATTGCACAATTTTCATCGTTTTTCACCGAAGAGAAAGATAAAAACGAAATCTCGACGATGATGACGACATATTTTCAGGATGGAAACGTCTTCCGGTAGCGGCGAAGAGTTTCCGCTACGATATCGTCTCTGTTGAGTGCCAAGAGGCGTTTGTGTCGCGGCAATTTGCGGAACAGTTCGTAAGAAACTTGAGGACGATTGTCCCGCGGGCATTAATTGACTGTATTACGTCCGTGTTGTGTGCAACGCGAAGAAAATCGAGCGTGACGATCACCCGAGACGATCTGCATCATCGGATGATATTGCGCTGCGAAGCGGATATCTTTCGCAAAGAACTGACAGAGATCTCAAGGCACACACGTGCGCGTAAAAAATGTCTTCTCATTAATCGAAGTAATAAAGAATCAGAGTTTTGGATCACATTGCTGTCAATATACAACGTATTTTTGAAAAGATTCCCGAGAGCACAAAAGAAGATACATTTTTCTTTTTATATATTATTATGTTTCGCAGAGCGCGAGCGGAGAAACAAAGAAGGGATGAACGTGAAATAACAGAAAAAGAGGGCAGCAAGGGAGCGGGGGACGGGGAAAAATGAGGCAAAACTGTATCGGAAGATAATAACGGGGTAGGAGCCGTATGCGGTGATCGGGTCCGTTCACCGAAGAAATGGAAGAGCACGATGCAACCGAGACACACCAGGCTAGATGCAGTTTGATGATGCTCCGTAAAAAAATCTCTAGGCAATAAGTTATTTTGTACTTTTCTTTTTCACTACGCGCACCTGTGTATCCCATGTTAACCAGGAACCTCTTTCCCTAGAGACGATAATTACCCTGCGGCGGTCGCGATGTAATTAAGCAACATTTGATGAATAGAACAGCAGATTCAACCACTTAATATTTAGTCGAGACTTTATGAGCGTTAATCGAGATATTGAGCTTGTAGAAACGACGGTGAAAAGCGACGAAAGTGAGATTTCAGCGTTTTTGCAAATTCGATCGCGATGAGAAAATTGCGAGAGTAGCATTGTGACGCGTTTTGTTTTCTTTCAAGTTTTTCTCGGCAACAAAAATATTTCGGGGAAGGAATGTAAAAATCTTCGCAATATTAAAATTTGACGAAATCACTCGCATTCCGAAGGGGAAATACACGTTCGAGAGCTCTCGGAGAGCCAATAAATTTTTTACATAACCTGTACCAATAAAATGAGATAGCGGGAGTGGAGGAGGCATCGACGCGATCCTGAAACAACTATACTTATCGAGGATCGTGCCTCGCAGGGTCTGATGGAGCCCCGCGTTTTCTCAGTCCCGCTTCTGTAATTACTATCTTCCTCTCACGTATATAAGGATCGTTGCGCCTCTTTTACTTCGGTTCGTACCAAAAAACTGTAGAGCTTTCGGTTCGCATCGCATGAAAATATATATATATATATACACACACACATGCGCGCGCGCGGTTATTTCCTTTCTACATGCAGATTTATCGCTTCTCTTCTCTGCGTCGCAAGTCTATATGTCTTTGTCTATAACTGCAAATATATTTTTCACAATCGCGAGCAAAAAATAATAGGACGTATATTTTGTCACAAATCTGACACATTTGCCCGTCTCACATCACCCCGAAGTCGGTGAAGGAATCGTTATTCCAGTTTCCTCCTTCCGTCTCCCTGCCCTTCTCTCTCTCTCTCTCTCTCTTCCTCACTCTCTGCGTGCATATCCGGTTTCCCTATACCGACGATCGTGATAAAACCATCGGACAATAATAAACAATGCGTGAAACGACAAGTACAGTCCGGGGCCGACCGGGAGCATTTCGCGAGATGCTATCGTGTCCCGCGCGCGCGCGCGCGTGACTCCCAGCCCCCGCCGGTAGCGGAGCGCAATCAATCATTCGAACCGGATAAAATATAAAATACGGTACCGAGGCAGGCCGCGATGTGTGTTTGCCGTTTTATTTATTTGCACAGTCATGCAAGCTACGCGGAATTAACGTATTTTTTGCACGCGACTTCCTCGCCCGGATGACGGCGCGGGTCGATGCCGAGCGCCGACCTGAGCTTTCGTTATCGCCGGCGCGATTAAACCAGCCGTGATGAATTTAACAATCACTTTTTTTTTGCTCGCGCGTACATACACAGCGGACAATTTTAGCGTGACGCGGTGACATTCGAGAAGCAATTCGCTGTTGAGGAAAACAAACACGAGGAAGAAGAGTAATGTTGTCTTCTCGCGAATTAAGAGCATTTGGACGCGCGCTTTCGGAGCGAAACGGAAGCTCACATAAACGATCGAATGTCTCGACAGGCCGAAACTCCTCTTCGGAGAGGAGCGCGTAATGGCGATTCCGCGTCGCGTGATGGATGGTACTCGCGGTATCTTGTATCGCGGGTATATCGCTACTACCTCTTTCTCTCTCTCTCTCTTGCTTATTAAACTGTTCGGTATTTCTTGTGGACGGGTAACAAGGCAGTGTCGCGCTCCTACGAGAAGAAAGATGCGGACGAGGAAGATCGATGCCTTGTGCATACACATCTATGTAGCGTAGCCGAAACTTTTAATAAGCGTCGTCCGCGCTACCGAGGTAGTCGACGGTCATTTATAAATTGCTACCGTTCGTTCTTTTAGGCGCGTCTCTGAAAAAGTTATCTTGATTTATTTAAACGACCGACGCTACATCCGAGCTGAGGCTAGAAATGAGCGTTTTAATTTATATAAATTTTTCCCTCTGAAGCGACAAATGTCAACTGTACTATAACTCAGCTTTGCATTTCACACGCATCTCGCATTTTATTTATATTTATATATAGCAGTTATGTGTGTGTGTGTGTGTGTGTATGGATTATTACGCTGGTACAACAAAATGCTTATTCTCTCGTGAAAGAAGCACCTTCGGTCTTGTAATTCTCCGCGGACACCCGGTACGAAACGGATGATTGCGCGCCGCGAACGCAACAGATCGCTACGTTATTATTTTCGCCAGTTATCGAATTAGATGTTGGCTTAACAGGTACGTATAGCGCAGGTCCCCGCATACCCGTTTTCATAGGCGTACATACACCTCCGCGCGCTTATCGTCCGCGCCGCCCGATGAATTGTCTTGCGAAATGTCGCGTCTCTCTTTCTGTGCTTGTTTTGCGAGCAAACAAAGAGGAAGACGGAAACTACAACATTTAATGATAATCCGAGTATTTCAGTGAGCGAGTGGGCAATAGGAAGCGAGACGCTTCTTCCGCCGGAAGGAAAAGCGGCACGACTGAGGTGGCTCCGGTTTCTGCTCCGGGACCGTCGTCGGTCACGTCGATCGTGCTTTACGTCGTCCCTTTTGCATAAACGCGCTCAATTTGCTCGAACGGGGCTGTAAATTATGCCGATTCAGGAACGTATAGCGCGGATGACGCCCATGGGCTCTCCTCTCCCAACGCCCCTCTTTCCCTCTTCTCGACGTTACAGCTCCGCAACTCGATTCCTCTTTCTCTCTCTCTCTCTTTCTCTCTCACTCTTTCTCTCCTCTTTCGCTTTTGCCGCGAACGTAGGGGCATCCCCCGGAGATTACAGCTCCACACTCGTTACTACCTACAACGTACTTACGTTACTTTTAGAACTGCTTATTACTGTGATTACCGGCGCATAATGCGGCGACCGCGAGCCGTTCTACAATTTATTATTGAATTGCTATAATACGGACCAGCCGGCATCGCTTCGACACGCCGACGTCGTTATATACACGCTGTTGTGGAAAACGCATAACGGACGGCTTTTCCCTTCGTTGTTTACTGCGCGCGCGAAAAAAAGACGCGACATATGCACGAATTCTGCTCATGCTAGTACTACTAGCGTATAAATTTCCCTTTCTTCAACTAAACGCCATGTAATTTGTCGGATACACAACACACATACTTTTGTTCTCAAGAAAATTATAATAAATACATTACATGTATATTTTTCTGTCCTTGTGTGAATAATAACATTATACGTAATCTTGGATCTTTTCAACCCCATGTAGCTATAGTCCCATTATAGTAGATATTACAGTTTTGCGCAATTCCATGTATACTATAACTGTTAGATTGTTTGGCGGAATTTTTCCGACAACGTGAAATGCGGAAGAGAACGTTCAAGGCGTAGACGCGATGACGCGCGCGCGTGTGTGTGCGCGCACAGAGACACATACACACGCACATGTGTGTACGAGTGCACAGGTACTCGAACGCATTGAACAAAATCGCCGGTCTTTTCTTTTATTCTCTCTCACCCTTCATCTCTATATACAATATGTAATTGTTTACTTCAATACTATTTTTTTACTTTCATGCGTGATTGACTGCAATCAGAGCAATCGATCAGAGCAATCGATCAGAGCAAAATCGATCATAAGATTTTAAAGCTTAGAAAAGTATATTCATATTCTGACTGTTATTTTCAATTTTACGTGGATCGGCAGATCGACAGCCAATTTTTAATGTCATTTAGTGTATAAGAAATAACACAAATATCAACACAATATCATACCATTTGCTCGTACGCGTTTGTATATCGTATAAACGTGAATCGTATAAACTCGAACTCTTCTCTTTCAACCTCTCAAAACCTCGCTATTAGCTTTGCTAATATTATTTTAGACTCTTTATAGGTTTTACCGTTCAGTTATAACTTTGAAGGCAAAAGAGCAAATATTTGTAGCGTATGTTGCATCTGGATCTTAGATATAGCGGATCTAGAGGTCGCAAAACTTTGAGCTCGCAAAAAAGTTCTTCCTGTACGCGTGTACTCGCGCAAGCGCAAACTCGAGTATCGCACGTGCTAACGAGTTTCGTGTAAAAGGAGAGCTCTCGTGAAATCGCAACAAATAAGACACGCTTTGAAATTCGGCTCGGTGGAAATGTACAATTGTGAACGAGATACGCAAGAGAGCGTAGCACAAACGTTTGTGTTTTAATATATATATTTTCTGTATATACGTATATGAATATATTTGTGTCACATATATTTATTTGCACGTCGTATTTAATTAGCTCTGTGAAACGTGATACAAGTGTATCTCTTCATTGCTCGACAACGCCATATTGGTCGCAATAAATCTTACCTGACAGTAAACAAATCCGATCGTATATTTCCGCGTAGTTTTCACGATACAGCAGCCACGAGGCTGTGGCCAGTTACAAGAAACCTTTATTGAGTAACTTGTGTAACCGAAAAATTCTGAAACCGAGCACCAAACGCACACACTTTGTTGCACAAGTCCGTTCTATATACAACATATCCGAATAATAAAAGATACGATGACAAGAGACGATATAAGGATGGTGGAAAATACGATAGGTGTTTTCACAAATCAATTTACAAACAAAGTGATGCGGGAAATAAATAATAGTTTCAACAATGAAGCACCTAACTCTACAGACTCAGTAAAAATTTCTGGCACTTCGATTTCAATCGACAAGTCTCAATTTTATAATTATCTGTGCCTTCTAAATCAGGTGATTTTCATATATACATCAGAAAAACCGACACAGAACTACTTACACTACTTTTGCTGCACTACTTACACAGAGCAAAATCCTCATTAGATATTCATCAGACGTTCAGACAGCTCTATGCGATATCTAATGGACATCTGATGTGAGGGTTCTGTGCGTGGATTTTTGTTCTGTGTAAGTATAACATGTAAACAACTTTTTGTTGATATATTTACTTTTGACAAACGGAATCTCAAAAACTTATGTTGCAGATACAACTAAATACTATTATCATATACACAATTTTATTACATTCCATTGTTTTTATTATACTTGTGTTTAAGTCTAAAATAATCCTAGTCAGTTTGTTTTAATGTTGTTTGAAACAAAAAAGACATAATGTTTTCAGATTCATCAAAACCGCAAACTTAATCATAATGATATTAAGTCCATTCGTCGCTTCCATTGTTATGTTCAAGATTGCCAAGTCAAAAAGTTTTTCTGTGAACATAACTTCTTAAAAATAGCAAAGTTTCTGTTGAAAGATTGTTCATCGCTATTATGTAAAGTATGATGTATTTGTCTGTATTATTACTACTATATTACGCACACACACACACATTGTTTTAAAATCTAAATCTATATGAAAAAATTTTTAGAACATAACTATAAGTATCATTGTTGAACTTGCCAAGGAAGATGAATATACAGCTAAAACAGATATAATTAACAGTATAGGCGAAGACTTGGACATTGTGAATTTCATCATAAATTATTTTCGAAATAGATACATTGCAAGCGAGACTTTCTTAACGCACAATCTTCTCAGATTGTTTCATTTAATAATATTTACGATTGAAAACTGTCCCGCATCGCCTTGGGTTACTCATTTGAAGAATACAAGAGGATTTTTCGGGATATTTATAACCAACGTATTATGGTGTATATCTCTTCCTGGTATGTGTAAACGTACATGTGTGTACAGGTAATCCTCGTATAACGCGATACTTGAACAACGCGGTTTCGATATAACGCGATTTACAAATTGTAATAAAATGGAGTCTAATCTCGTTTTTTTTCAATATGCGCGCTTATGAGAATGTCGTATAACGCGATTTATATAACGCGGTATTTTTGGTGGAACGGAATATCCGCGTTATACAAGAATTATCTGTACTATGTGTATATTGTATCTGTATTACTGTTAATAATCTTTTAATTTTATTGTAGGTAATATATTAAAAGATATATTCTGTATGATTTGGAAGCTATCAGAAATAAGATTTCCAAATTCTTTGGAACCGCTTTTGAGTGATCTATTCAATATACAAGAACTGATTGACTGTGGATTAGTGGAACTCATATATTTTAGATTTCTGTGCACAGATGACGACATTTCCATAACAGACTGGACAAGCATAGAAATGTGGTTAGACTTAGTAACCAAGTTAAGACAACCTAATTTATTTCCATCTCAAAATCTTAATTTTGATTCTATATTTAAACCTTTATGGGTAATCATAAATAAATACTTCGCCGAATTGACAAGAGCTAACGCAGAGACAGAACTTGAGAACAAATGTAAAATCCTTTTAAGAGTCTTACGTCTTCGCGTGATAGAGAAATGCGTAATACTGCTAAACACTTATAAAGACGATACGATTAAGTCTGTAACGACTCAGAGGCAAATGAACCAAATGAACACCTTTTTATATAATTTTCATTCTTATATAAATCAATTATATTCGACATTCTATTATCGAAAAGATTCGTCAAAAAAACCCGACGGTAATATATTCAAATACATAGCTCTTATGTTGTGCAAATAATTAACGCAGATAATATTTCTTATCTAATCTTTGATCTTTTTTTTTGTGTACAAACTTTAGAATGTACAAAAGTACGTGTCAAATCGCTTATATCAAATCTACGGACGCCTATAGAAACCATGAAAACTATGTTGGATCGATATTTCAATTGTAGGTACAATCTCCGAATAAAGATATGATGACATCAATTAAAAAGTTTGGCTATATACATAAAGTTTGGCTGCTTTATATGCATACGTGCACATGAGGAAAACCTCTTATTCAAGAATATGTTCCTATTCAAGAATATATTCCTACAGATATAAACGTTTGTATCTCTATACATGAGAAGTGCATTTTTCTTAGTTAAATTATCTTTTCAAATTGCACTTTTTGTAGTTAGTATTCTTGAGACATCGTTACAAATTCATGTATATAGACATTAACATACTTGCTTGTACATAAGACACAACATTTTATATTAGAGAACAGTAATTAATAACAAATACAATTGTTACATAATTATGTATTTTCATAACGACAATTGTAATACATCTTTGCCTTGTATGTGATCTTTTTTTCTCACAATTAACAATTAAATGCAAAATATGCACTAAATGATTCTATTTCAATTATAATTGTCAATCGTTACCTAAGCATGCGACGCGGAATGATTATTCTTTGTGTTAAATTGCATGCGAGCACCAGAAGTCAAATTCAATTGATTTGGAAATCAAAGAATTGTTAAAAAATTCGTCGCACGCAATTCAGCGCGAAGAAAGGCATTGTGTGAGTGCCGGGGAGAGAGGGTCCGTAAAATTACATAAAGTTTTGCGTCGATCAAAGCGAGAGAATTACGCGAAATTTATTCACTGACTCCTGGTCTAGCAACACACAGTTAGGCAAAAACAAGTGATAATAAAAATTTTATCAGTCACCTATTACGTCAATCTGGTTATTTGGATGTGTGTGAAGTACATCGATCTAATGTTCTCGTCAGAAATTCGATTGCCGTCGTTCTCAACGAGTACAGAAAAATCGGATTATGCCGAAAATTATATCTCTCGGTTCTGAAAAAAATCACGTCAATGACGACATATCTCGCTCGCTCAAGTTATAAAAAGAGATTGTGAGAATTAATTTTTGTCTTATATCAATATCTCACGTACATAGTCGCGCGGCCGCTTTATTTTCACATGGCGCTCGAACATCTCAGCGCAGGCTTAGTTTTTTCGCATTATTTTTCACGATTTTTTATTACTTTTCGCAACGCGCGAGAGAATCTTTTGCGAGATATCGCGAACGTGCGAACCAAGACAGAGAGCGTCGAAGAAAGTTGAAGTTGGTCCCGCGTGAAGTTGACTACTTTTGAAGTATCGCGCGCACGGCAGCGTCGACGCATGCCTCCGAGCGCGCCTGAGCGGTTGTATACAGCAGTTGTTTTAAAAACATAAAAAGGTCATAAGGTCGTGAATTAATAAATGATTCGCGTAATTCTATCGTTTCGCGATAAAGTTGACGAAACGACGGTGGTGACGCAAGCGAGATTCTCCCGTTAGGACATATATATCGCATTATTCTTTCGCGTTTGTCAGCGCGATGGAGAGCGGTGATTCAACGTCGTCGCGCTGCATCAGGTACGAACGCTCGCTGCCCGCGAAATCCGAGAGTGTGCGGCGGCGGCGCAGCGCGCGCGTTCAGCAGGCGACCCAGCGGCGGAAGGACGCTATGGATATGTTCGGATCATCCAAGTCGCGTGCCCAAAAGAGTGACGGTGAGCATTGGTTTTTGTCGCGATCGCATCGATGATATCGTGTCCGGGTTTTGGTGATGTTGCTTGCGGTGAATCGCATGATTTTGCGCGCACTCGTAGAGAAATCCCGTAGTTTTTTTCTCCCTTGCGAGCGGTTACAGTTTTGGCGTTGTTATACACATGTGGGCGCTAGCGCCTCGGCGTGTTGCGACGGATAATCGCTGCACTAACCAGCGCCGTGCCCGGAATCCATTTTCGCGTGGTTAGAATTTGTCAAGTTTTTTTTTTCTCACGCAAAAAATTCCACCTCGGATCTCTCGATTCTGTGCCAAACCACATACACTATCGACGTAATCTCTCTCTTGAAGTAATTAACATGTAAATAGTTCTCCGTATGCCTCGCTTAAACTCCCCTCGCAGTTTGTTACATCTCACATGCGATGTTTTGACAAGATTGAGTAGATCAAAAACAAGTGTGGAAACACATTTGGAGCTTTATTGTTTTCCAATTTACTCCACACGGTTATTGTTCTTCACATGTACAGAATGCTTGATTACTTGACAATTTGTCTTTCATGAGAATATGATAGAAAGTATTTGTGTAAAACAAAAAATGAAATAGAATTTGAACATTGCACTGCTAAGCTGGCTGCACATCTTTGCTAACTGATGTAGTCTGTATATTTAGTAATATTTGCTGCGCTCCGTAGTGCATCTGTTCCTGATTCTAGTAGTTAGCTATTTGCAGAGTATATTAGACCCTTTCTTTTTTTTGGCAAGGTGCAGTCTGCTTTATCTTTCAGATCTAGAGGTCACTGGTATTTCCCGCAGTGGTCGTGTGAGGAAAAAATCTTCCAAGCTTGTTGACTTTGAGTCACCTGATAATATTACAGACAATAAACTTAAGAGGCAGAAGGCTCAAACTCAACATTTGCAAACTCAGCCATTCTTGGAAAGTCACTATGAAATACAGCAGCATCATCAACAGATACTGCCTATTCCATCCAGTCAAGCGAATAATGACGGGCGACAAAGGAAAAGTTTGAGCTCTCATCATGAACAATCTAGAATCAAAGTGGAACTTAAGGATGAACTCTTGTCTGATAATGAAGGACAGTTGTCAGGCTCAGAATCTGATGATCCTGGATTAAATGAGGAAGAGAACTATAGCCTAGAGTCTGGGAGCGAGAATGAGATAGATCCTCTTATGATCGATGAGAGAGAAACGGGATTCAGAAAACTAGAGCCTCCATCAGGTCAGGAAACGCCATCGCAAGCGAATAGTTTGTATATGCTTGAAAAATGTAAAAAAAAGCTAATTATTAAGGATGGAAAAATTATAGGCAAGTCGAAGACCCAGCGGAAGGACAAAGGGGTACGTACTAAAACGAAAAGCAATAGAGAGAAGAATGGCCTTAATCTTTTGATATTTTTAGAAAACGAGGTTTACTGCTTATATGCTATGGGCAAAGAAAGTTAGGCCAGAACTGTTAGAGCAAAATCGTTATATGGGTATCTAAAGCTGCATTTATATCGACTATCGGCTACGAAACGGCATGCAATGTTCATGTTTATATTGATCGTTGCTTTTATACAAACTTTTTGTAGATTTTGCGACAATTTCTAAGCGATTAGGAGAACTGTGGGCTACAGTGCCACAACTGGAAAAATATAATTGGCGCAGGCGTGCAAAGCGCCTAGCGGCAAAATCGCATTCTTTGCCGGCAAGTAAAAATGAACCAAATTGGAAAATGCCACAACCTGTCTCTCCAAAAAAGTTCATTAATAAAATTGGTGGGTTTGATCTTTGTATAGTACAAAATGTATGATTTGTATATGTTGCGTAGTATAATCTTTGCTTTTTTTCTCTTCATGTATGCATGTGCACTGGATAAAAATATTTATTGAAACGAATATTCTTTTGATCTTTTTGTTTGTAGTCTTTTTTATACTTGAGTCTCTTGTTACATGTGTGCGCATATGGAGATTATCATTTAACACGTCGATGATAAATTTATTCTCGTGTGCTCTATATTTCAGGTAATAACGCAAAGGAAGTAAAATCCGCTTCAATAAAAAAACCTGCCTCTATTCAACTTGGTATGCCGTCTGTAGTCGGGAACATCCCGGTCTCGCCGTCAAATCGCACCGGCAAGGATCTGGTCAATGAGCCGGTAATAGGCACGGGAATGTATAAAGTCGTGGGAATGCAGCCGATCGATGTCGCTGCTCATCTCAAACTTCTCGGCGAGAGTTTGACCATAATTGGAGAACGTTTGAAGGAACATGATGGTCAGATCGCCATTTCCGGCACTTTTTCGGTTCTGTTGGACTCGCTGCTCTGTGCCTTAGGTCCGTTGATGTGTTTAACGCAACAGTTGCCAGAAACGAATGGCGCTAGACCTGAGACTCTGTCACAAATGCTTGATAATATCGCATATCTTATGCCGGGTTTATAATATAAATAAATATAAATATATATATATATATGTACATATACATGCATATACAAAGTATGTATAAAGTATATCAAAAAAATTGTATGTAAATATATGAGATTAAATAAAAATATATGAAAGTTATAAGTAAATGACCAGGTCAATCTTTTTCAGTCGTAACCTTCTACATAATTTGTATGTTTTATTTCTTATATTTTACCTGCTCATTAGAGAACGAGCTTCAAAAACTTTGCATATAAATATATTTGTATAAAAAAGTTGCAATAAATATTTACATATATGTATATAATTCTATAGCTGTACATGATATGTGTAAGTCACATCGTAGTTATTGTTCTTATAAAACGGGCGGGCACGTGCAAAATAGATTTTTATCGCCGTATATGTCGTCTATTCTTCCGACACTTGGCCAAATCTTATTTCTTCCTCTCACGAATGGCTAGAGTGACAAATACAATTAATATATAAAATTAATTAATACGAATACCAATTAATTAATATCGATATATTAATATACTTACAGCTGGAAAAGCCGCTAATTCTCGCGAGTACGGCCGATTCCATTCGGTGGTTATCACTTGTTCTTGAGTATGAGGTGCCATTTTCAAAGGATTCTGCGCAATATCCATTTTCCCTTCCTCAATATCTGCAATCTCCTTTCTTATAGCTATAAAAGAAATTTATAATTTCGAATAAGCAATATTTTGCTAAAATATTGAGAGATTATTTGTATGTTAGTTTTTCTCAAGCTCACAGATTAGGGAATCGCAAAACCTATCCAACTCGATCTTGTCTTCTGATTCAGTCGGCTCGATCATTAAGGTTCCGGCCACGGGCCAACTCATGGTCGGCGCGTGAAAACCATAGTCCATTAATCTCTTCGCGATGTCGACGGCCTCAATATTAGCAGTCTTCTTAAAGTCCCTTATATCCAAAATGAACTCGTGCGCGATCAGTCCGCTTTCACCTTTGTACAGCGTTTTGTAATGTTTCTCTAATCTCTTGCTCATGTAATTGGCGTTGAGAATAGCCACTTGCGTGGCTTTGCGCAAACCCTTCGGGCCCATCATTTTGATGTAAGCCCACGAGATCGGTAAAATGGCGGACGAACCGAAAGGCGCGGCTGAGACAGCGCCGAGATTTTTTATGTCGTCGTTACCGTAACTCGAGCAATTTATCACCGGGTGATTTGGAAGGAAGGGTATAAGATGTCGCTTTCTGAAAATTTGAATTTTTATATTTGTATTTTACAAATTCAACAAAATATAGAGCTATGAAAAAAAACGATTACACTTACACTCCAATTGGACCCATGCCGGGCCCGCCGCCTCCGTGAGGAATGCAGAACGTTTTGTGCAAATTGAGATGCGACACGTCGCTGCCGTAATCGCCTGGTCGACATAGACCGACTTGAGCGTTCATATTGGCGCCGTCCAAGTACACTTGCCCACCGGCGTCGTGTACCATGTCGCATATATCGCCGATCGTCTCCTCGAACACTCCGTTTGTAGACGGATACGTGATCATCAAACAGGACAGCGTCTTTCGATGCTTGTCTATCATCTCCGTAAGATGTGTCGTGTCGACGGAGCCGTCTTTCCGCACAAGAATCGGCTCCACCCGCATGCCCGCCATTTGCGCGGACGCGGGATTCGTGCCGTGCGCGGATATCGGAATCAGACAGACTTGCCGATGCTTATCGGCGTTGAACTCGTGATAGCACTGTATAGCCCTCAAACCCGCGTACTCACCCTGCGCCCCGCTGTTCGGTTGAAAACTGATACCGTCGTAACCGGTGATCGCGCACAGATCTCGTTCTAACTCGGCGAATAGTTCTCGATATCCCTCGGCCTGTTCGAGCGGAGCGAAGGGATGTATGTCCGTGAAGCCTTTCAAACTGCAAGGCATCATCTCTGTGGTCGAGTTTAGTTTCATCGTGCAAGAACCCTAAATAAACGTTGATGTTAGAAACAAACAAACGGTGAAAACTGCTGTTTGTAAACAATCGCTCACCAGCGGAATCATGCTGTGCACGAGAGATACATCCTTGTTTTCGAGAGATTTCATGTACCGAACTATCCTAGTTTCAGAGTGGTAGCTGTTGAAGACGGGATGTTGTAAGTACGGAATAGTGCGGTAGAAGTTCGATCTGTCTAAATTCCTCGCGAGATAACTGTCGTCCTGGACAACATCCTCGACCGTAATGTTGGCCGAAAATATCTTGTAAAGATCATTCACGTCTTCCACCGTTGTCGTCTCATCTAGAGATATTCCGATCGTATCGTCGTTGTAATATCTGCGATTGTTCCACAACAATTATTCAATAACAAAATCACAAAACGGTTAAACTGTGCTTAGAAGAATACAAATCTATCTACCTCAAATTTATCTTAGCTCTGTTCGCATTGGCTTTGACCTCTTGCACAGAGATCTTCGGGGTCACTCTGATGGTGTCAAAAAAATATATATTGTTTATCGCGTTTTCGGCCGCTTCTAAACCCCACGCGAGAGCCAACGTTAAATTGTGCACTCTGTTCGCGATGTCCCGTATCCCTTGAGGTCCGTGATAAACCGCGTACATCGCGGACATATTCGCCAGCAACGCTTGCGCGGTGCAAATATTGCTGGTGGCCTTGTCTCTTCTGATATGCTGCTCGCGCGTCTGAAGTGCCAGCCGATAAGCATCTTGCCCGCTAGAGTCTCTCGTAACGCCTATCATCCTGCCGGGCATCAGTCGCACCAGCTTCTGACGGCAAGCAAAGAATCCCGCGTGGGGTCCGCCGTATCCGAGCGGCACTCCGAAACGTTGACTCGTGCCCACGCATATATCGACACCAAACTCACTCGGTGGTTGAAGTATAGCCAGAGCCAGTAAATCGGTAGCTGCGCAAACGAGTGTCTGAAACAAGAAGAAGATACGTGGTTTAGTTTTAATTAAAATAAAATAATAGTAAAAATATATATACATTCTTTGTTTCCGTGTGTATATTTTATAATTCTCGAAAGTAAATACCCCGTTTTCGTGTGCTTTGATGACGATGTTCTCGAAATCGTGTACGCAGCCAGTTGTATCGGGATACTGGACGAGAATACCGGCGATATCCTTGGCGCAGGTGTTCGCCTTGAACACATCACCAATTTCCAGCGTCAAACCCAGGGAAGCGGCGCGCGTTGCAATAACGCCGATAGTCTGAGGATGCACTTGATCGGATAGAAACAATTTCGTTCTCTTGGTGTGTCTATACGCGAGAGCCAAAGCCTCCGCCGCTGCAGTTCCTTCGTCCAAGAGGGAGGCGTTAGCCACCTCCATCCCCGTCAAGTCGCATATCATTGTTTGGTAATTCAACAAGCCTTCCAGTCGTCCTTGCGAAATCTCCGGCTGATAAGGAGTGTACTGCGTCGTCCTAAAAAATGCAATAATGCTGTTTATACAAATTTCTTCTTCAACATAATCATGTTTATTGACTGTTATATTTCTTTTTGTGCGCCTCACCATCCCGGGTTTTCGAAAATATTGCGCATAATCGTGTGCGGCACGCAACAGTTGTGATACCCCATGCCTATGTAAGACCGCCACACATCATTCTTCTCCGAAATTCTGGTGATCCGCTTTATCAGCTCGTACTCAGCTGTGACAATTGGTTTTTTCTTTAATCGTTATTATTTTATTGCATTGCTCGATGTACGGCTGTGTGTGACGACAATATATGTGATTACAATTTCGTTTGAAATCACGTGCGGAGCGGACGCACGAGATCGAACTATGACCTCAGATAACGATGTATATGAAAGAGATTATCAACTTTTTTATCCACACACACATACACACACACATATAGGCTTCTCGACAAAAATTATACAAAAGTCTCGTGACTCCAGTCACGTTTTTACGAAGTGACCTATCATGCTGCTATCATGCTGTCTTATAAAGAAAAAAAAGCTAAAAATCTCGCTGTTTCTTATCTCGGAAGAAAAAATTCACGCCGGTTTTAGGGAACGGCGGAATAAAAATTGACGATTCACGCCCAAATTAATATGATTTATTGTTAAATTTCAACTTAGATATTGTACAGTGATGAAGATCATACTGATTGCGGAGAGAACGAACTTATTACTCACTAATGGGATCGTCAAGATTCAAATCGCCCTTGTAAAGAATCTTAGCTGGTACTGCTGTTTCCGTTAGCTCATCGAGACTCTATTGATGTCAAAAATTACGGATAAAATTAATTTATGTGTGTTCTCTTGTAAAAATATTTTACAATACTACGTTTGCGTTATATCAAAAGAAAACGCGCGAATTTCACAATTACTTTACCTTGAATCCAAGTAGTCTCAACATTTTCACTTGTTCTCTTTCCCTCGGCCCGATGTGTCTCGTCTGGAATTCATCTTGTGGCAAGAGCAATCTTTCGAGATTCTCTTTCTGCGAACAACTCAATTGCAATCCAATTGCACGTCGAGTCACGAAATTGCGTTTATTTAAAAGCCCAGCGTATCTCGTCGTCTTTAAAATGCACTGCATTGTAACTTTCAAAAATCTAAATATGTATGTAAAAATTTCCTAGACGCGTCTTAACATCACAGCCATTTGCGAGAAACTTATCAAAACTAAACGGACGCTAAACGTGACGGAGATTTTTATACGCCGAGTGCTCGATATCGTGCGCGCGGTGTGATGTCACAACTTTTGTGATTACAGCTTGAACTCTTCAGCAGTTTTTTAATCTGAGTTGTTGTAGACAACATTGAGAAATTATTTTGTATCTTATGACGCGTTAAAAAGTAGAACGTCCTACCCCCAGCGTAGAATTGTCGTAAACAAACTTTGTTTTCATTGCTATTGTGCAACTATTCCGTAAGACGTGAAAGATTATCTAAATACGTGAAAACAAAACAAAACAGACACATTTTTACTGTCTGTTTATTGCTTTTTTTTAATACTTTATTGATACAAAGTTCCTATGTATATAAAAATTACATATACAATATATAAGAAATATACAATAATATATCAGGTTTTTTCTTTCATCAATAATATGTAATTTGCTTACACGCTATATATTATATACAATGTCAGAATTATTTACCTAACCTAACTAAAACATAAATAAGTCAAATTAAACAATCAGAACTACATATTTTAAGAAATATGTAAAAATACTTGATAAGGTAATTAAATTAGGGAAACAAAGCAACAATCGTAAGATCTAATTTTTTTATTTCATAAACTTATCTTGATTTTGCGTAAGTATCTTGGCAGATGATTTGGCGTCTAAGAAGAGTGTGTTTGCTTCTTCAATATCTTCTTTTTTTATGCTGGTTCTTTCGTTGATCTTTGCCGTCAAAGCTGCAGGTGTCAGAAGTTGCACCACATATCGCAGAGTTGTTTTTGTACCAAGGTCCCCGAGAACAGAGAGAGCCTCGTCTTCGATTTGCAATCCTTCCGTGACTGCTCTTAGTTTCACTATCTGTTCGATTTCCTGTCTGGAATATGGAAGCGTCCTTATGATCAGCAGACGGTCCAACAAATCGAGAGGTATTCCGTGTGGAGATACAATGTCTTCTGTTCCTCTGATCACACACCGACCGCGATTTGTGGCGAAGATAACAATCGGAGCTATTGCGCTCTCCAGCGCACGATGCAGATAGGTAAATGTCTCAATGTCTAACATGTGAACTTCATCTATAAATAATACTCCAGGTACTAATTCGGCTATACCTTGATCAATGTATTTGTTTACTGCTTTATTTATCTCTTTTCGTAGTTTATCTGAAATAAAATAATTTATGTACAATTAAATGTCTTCTTAACTTAAAACTTTTTTATTAAATAAAAATTAAATTATATATATCTATAGAATTTACAAAAGAAAATCACAAATATATAAATAATATTCAAGAAGGATGGAAGATAGCTCAGTGGATTGATGCTAGCATAGTAATGCTAAAGCGACCGCGATACTAAATTCAAATCTTGCTACCTTATTTTTCTCGATGATTTGGAATTGACTTTATCAAAACTTGTCTTTCACAGTAAACAGTATATATATAAGAGGTGAATCGGTAAGAATAGTGTGAGAAATAGTAACCAATAAAAAAAAGTAAACAAAAGACGAAAAGTAACGTCGAGATTAGCGATGTTTGACTGTATTCAAATAAATCTCTTACCTGTTATTTCCGTCTTTTTAGGTTTCATTAATTGTCCCATCATGGACATTATGTCTTGGCCACCTTGTGGTTTGGCATTAGCAACATCTAAATCGTGCAGAGTCACGTCTTGAATGACTTCTTTCTTCTTGTGTACATCGCCCTTCGGTAAAGGAACATATTCCTCGGCCTCCAAATCAAATTCCGTAGCGAAATTATCGCTTCTACCTTGTCGCTTTACCGCTCCACTGTTGGCTTCGATATAAATAACATCGCCAGTTTCCACCTTTTCTTTTTGCAAAGACTCGTATATAGAAGGATCCAATTTTAACTGTTTTGTGCCTTTGGAGGTCTTCAATCCAAGAACCACGTGTGACACTGTTTTGCCATAACCGCCCATAGGATTTTCTGTTTCCACAGGTGTTAATTCTGTGACTTCACCCTCGTAAACTTCCTTAGTTTCTTTGATTCTTAAACCGATGGCTCTTCTGAAATTCTCCATAAGAACCTCTGTCTTCTTTATTTCTGAACTATAAACCTCTGAACCCACCATAGGACAAAAAGGTACTTTATTACCAAGTTCTTGAGCGATAGCGAGAGCTATCGCAGTTTTGCCTGTGCCTGGTGGACCAGCCAGCAACACAGCTCGACCTGCCATTCTTTTTGATTTTACCATATCAACTACAATACCTGCAGCCTGTAAAAAAATACCAATAAATGCTAATTATATATATTTCATAATTTGATATATAATACATAAATCTTATATAACTTTTATATACAACTCTTATTTTTATCTCAATCAAGAAAACAACTAAACATATGTAATAAGTTATATATTAGTATAGTAAATATTAATTCTTTGTGCATATCTCTCTCTCTCTCTCTCTCTCTCTCTCTCTCTCTGGTAGGGTTTAAATAAGTTTAATAAACAAATTTTTTTTTAAATTAGAATAAATATATAAATTTATTTTTATTATAAATACATTCTTTTAATATTAATTTTTTGCTAAAAACACTGTTTTAATCATAATTAAGTGGTTTTATTTGTTAAAAATCTTGACTATTCTTTTTAAGATCTTGTGTTGAATTCAAATCGAGAAGAGAATTTTTTTGCGCATAAGAGAAAAAACCGATTAAAATAGGGGACAGCGTTGCGTGTGGGATTGGCGGGACACCTGCTGACAGCCAATAGCTATGGAGTGGGAGAACATTCAGTTAGGCGAGATGCGCAAAACGGACGAGTTTTCTCGTCCATTTGGTCTCTCTTCTTCACTTGAACTATGGATAGACCCCACCAGGGGTCATACGTAACTGTTCGTCATCAGCGAAAAAGAAACGCATGCGCACGAGTGTCGGTAATAGAATAGCCGAATGAGGGAGAATGTGAAAAGGAAGCAAATCACCAACCACAAAGAGTACGAGTTATATGAGGAAAGCGGAACTTTGCTGTAAATGTAACGACGGAAGTGTTGTTTTGCAGAAATATGGCTGCCACAGGCAAGACGCGGCAATGTGGTTACCAATCAACATCTCGCTTTTTCGGAATGTAAATCCATTATTTTTGATTGTAAAGCGAACTCTAAAGAAAAAGAACTCTGGTATATTCAGAAACTTTTGTCATCGTTAACTGGAAAAAATAAAATTAAGAAATTATCTGGAAACGGGTTCCGAAAGAGCGAGACGTTGCTGAACGGCGTTACCGCATTCCATGTATGGGAATCATAAGAGCAGCTTCATTTCCCATCAATGAAAATTTTATTTCACAGCTACTTCGTGACACATTTTGTTTGCACAAAAATTCCACGAACAGGCACGCAATAGATCAAGCATATGATGAACATGCTTGTTACTGTGAACAAAAACGCTGAAACTTGAGTAAATTGCCGGTATAAAGTTCACAGTCACAGTCTTTCATAAACCAATATTAAACATGCAAACAAGAACTGATTTTTTTTCCGGCTAAATGCCGGCAACTAGCCTGCTACGCTATTCCGCGAGCACGCAATTATCTCTGCAACTAACCTCACGCGCAAGTTCCTGACCAACGAGACCGGCCGCGTTTTGTATCGCCGTGCCGTTTTCATCGAGGCCTAATCCTTTGATGTGTGTATGCGCGGAAATTCTTTGAGTTTTAGCGGTGCTCTTCACTTCCTCGATCTTCATGGCTACGATTGTTAAATCAATGCGAGGAGAAGTCGGAACACGTTGCTATATCCTGCGTTTGGTTTCCAAGCGACTACTCGGACTGCTCGGACAGCGGGCTGATGGGCTGATAGACACCAAATGGGCAATCCGTTGCTAACCCGCGCCTGTTGATGAACGCGTTGTTCTGCGGTGCTACGACGTTCGCTATTGGCAGAAATCAAACACGTGCGTGTCACGCGAAGTTCAAACTCATTTCCTAGGCTGCGCGGTTGAAGACGACATGCGGCTGCTACGTGCGCAATCCGGAAAAGTAAATCGTTGATTGGTGGAGGCCCAAAAGATAGAATAATGCGAAGCATTTATAGCGCTATGTTGGCCGCAGTTCTAATTTATTGATCTATTTGTTGAAGACGATATCTTTCTTGTGTATAAAAATATATTTCACTATCTGTAAAATACGAAAAAATAAGCTTAAAAATCAAAATGCTCGGTAATTTTAGATGCTTATGAAAATTATATTGCCACAGAATAAAAATAAAAGATTAAATACTGTTTGTTACTGTTAAAAAGTGCCGCGTTTAGTAGCTGATACACTTTTCGATAACTAGATGTCTCATGACCAAAAACTAGTTTCTCGATAGTGCTGCGGGTAGCTAGCTTTCCTATATAAGAGCACTTTGAGAAGGTTTCCTCGGGTCCGATACACCTGGGAAAAAGCTGTCGAATGAATCACTTAATTTGAAGTTGTCGCTGATTTCAATCCCTCGTTCACTTACCGCAGCCCAAGGTGTGACGTTGACCCATTTTGCTGGTCACCACGACTTTTATTCTTATAATTTGCATCTATACAATTTTCTCTTGTAGTTTTACTTTTGAGGTTTGAGAGAAATTTCGTTTAATCTAATTTTTTTTTTTTTAAAGATTGTTTTTTAGAAAGAAATTTGGAGCAACTTTAGAAATAATAAATAAAAGTTTATTCTGTACAATATTGTATATTTACAAAACATGCTTATGTGCGTTTTAAGTACCATAATTGCTCTTTTTCAATGCGATCGACTATTTTCTTTGATTTTGGAATGAAATCATACTTTATGCAATGGTTTCGTTTCTCTAGCTGTTGCCACAATCTGACTGTCTTTCATCTGGAAAAAAAGAAGAAGAAATACATTAAATTATAGATTATCGAGATAAAGGACGTTAGAGTACAAAGTCCGAACTCACTTTAACATGAGCGTATAATAGAATCCCCACTAATGTCAGAGCTATACCAATGACTTGATTGATCTGTAATGTTTCGTGGAAAAGCAACGTGCCTCCCAACCATATTAGACAGAACTTGGAATGTCCAACCATATTATATCTATATTGCATCTTGTTAAAGTACATATATATTTATTTACTTATTAAAAAATAACAGATAAGTCTAAGAAAACGTGATACAAAAAAATTAAAAAAAAAAACAAAAAATGCCAACTAACAATTACATATGCTAATTTCATTAATAACTTAATATAACATGCCAATTTGTAACTTTCTTTTAGTACTTTTACACAAGGATACGTCAAAGGTGAAGTCTTTCCTATTATCCAGTAAGATGTCAAATTCACAAAGAATGCAACTATTCCCGATACTACAACCATGATCTGTAAATAATATAAAATATATCAAATTCAAGCTTATCTTGATCCAGTGTGGCTACAGTTTATTTTAATTTAATTCCATTATTAAAGGCTTACTCTAGAAATAAATAAATAAACTACATATTTGTTTAGCTACAGCTTGAATATAATGACTTTTTATCAGGAACATACTACGTCCAACAGTGACCAATCATGGGTAAAAGTTTGTCCTACTGGCTCTAAAATTGGAACAATAACTAAGAGCATAATGGCAGACAATGGCGCTTGGTAAAATAACAATTGCATTGGATCCATTTGAAACTGCTTTTGTTTTCTATTTACCAACTGTAAGAAACACATAATTTTTAGTGGTAAAATTTTTAGCTTTCTACAATTATTCTAGAATCTATGTTAATTTTTAAAGAAAGCAAGAAAAATTGACGTACAACTTGATACAACGATGTTACAAACACTCCCAATGCTGCGTAAATGGTTCCTACAACATTAAATTGTATATCATAGTAAAAGCTGATTATAACTCCAAGTATAATCGGTATCAGTGTCAGCTTGACCAGCAAACTAAAACGCTTCCTGTAAAATATCATTTGCATCAGTATTACACAGGGCGTTGTTAACATTTTTGCCACTTGATAAGTTCCAACGGTATTATGAGCTAAACTCAGATTCGTCAAAACGACAAATCCACAGAATGTCATAGCGATTAGTATCATCTCCTTGATGTCGATGTCTTTGACGCAGAAGACATCCAATTTCTCGCAGACAATCAAACCGACAAACGTCATAACAAAGTGTATCATGGACAACGTGATGTTTGGAAACCTGGTGTGAATGTAAAGCCATTTATTCAGCAGTACAATAGCGATCGAGAAGGCAATGTTCAGCATGAGATAAAACGTGGTGACCACTTTCTTGTTCATCCTTGAAACCTAATGTTGACTCCTTGTCAGTATTAATAATCTCGTCAATAAAATAACATCAACACCGTGTGACCCTTCAATATCTCGTGTTGTGCCTCGCACGTTCAAGATACATTTTATTAAATTCCAGCTCATAAATTTCAGCCAATGAATTGTTAATGATAAAGCTACCGTTCCATTTGACCTCATTCATCGCTTCGCTTGTACTCGCTAATTCATATACATCACACAACGATACATGTCTATATTTCGTTGCGTCTCGAACGTTTATTAGAATCGACGCTCTCTTTATCAAAGTCGTCAAACTAGCCCTTGAAAGGAGGGAAGACACTTTTGCGCGCAGCGCCTCTACCGCCCGTTACATTTTTTCTCTCATCCCCCCCCCCCAAAAAAACACGTACAGGAAATCGTTTTGAAATCTCGAAGAAAGGTTACTAGGAAACTCAACCAATCGCGTTGATCGATTTTGCGTGGAGACGTGAAAAGGCGCCAGAAAAAGCATATTCGCGCGCGATGATTAGTCGATTTCGAACGTTTATTATCGATATCTCGACGTTGAGAACCGTAACTGTTGATCTTTTTGCTGGGCCCGAAAAAAGAGCACACGAGGCAAGCGCCGAGAACCGTTCGATATATACCCGCTCAAATTTTCCGGCGGTTTTTTGTAATGTAAAAGTGACAGTCAGGTTGTTGCAGTAGCTTCGCATAAACTTAGAATATGATCGAGTTCCCGTTAGGATATCGCGAGGTAGTGCCGGATCAAACTCTGCCAGAAAAATGGAAAGAGATCATTCTGAATACAGGTGAGCGTGTTCTAACCTCGAGCGATGGCCCGGCAAATTAAATTTCGCTTAAAGTAGTATCACATAAAAACACTTTAGAAAGTCAGTTTTGATCACGCACGAGATTGTCGCGTATGTGTGGGATAAAATGTAGCATTTATTGTTTGTTTCGAAGAGCAGTTGTTTAACTGTAAGTTATTTTTGCAAGAACCGAAAAGAAATTTTAGAACTTGACTGTTTTACAGGCGGAAGCCAAAGTACATTGCAGGACATAAAAGTACCAGAAAGAGCAGGTGGCTACTCGTACAAAGACTCTTCCAAATATTTTACTCGTAATCGTTTTATTTATTGGCGTATCTGCCACGATGTACTTGAACTGGTTGAACACAGTCTGGACATTAATCTCGCGAATTGCCGAGTGAGATACAAGTTTACGGACACGCCGATCTTGGACGGAATTTCCATTCACGAAACAGTCAACTCTGTTGTCATTTTAATTGTCACTGTTTCAAGTGTCCACAAACTTTCCTTTTCTCATCCTGATAAAATTCACAAACAGGTAAGTGAGAGAATTGTCAGTCTGTACACTTTTTTTTTTAACATACAGTGTGTTCTACTTCGTTTGTATCAATAAAATGACAATTGTTTCTCTCAAGGAAAATTTATTGGGAACATATACAGATCTTAGTATACAGTCCATATTTAGCGAGGCTTCCGCACAAAGTGCCAGAGACCCTCATACATTTCACATTATCTCCAATGCTGGAACCACAAGTGAGTTAACAGAATATCTGTAGAATTTAACTTATTATCGTTTCTATTATTGATATATGAAATAATCTACTTGGCAATGTTTTATTCTACACAGATTCACCGGTACCTCATGCGGCAGCATCATGGCTCACATTGCCGCAAGAAGAGGCGTTATTCGCTCTTGCCTATAATTCAGCTACTATATTACTCCTGAGACTCGATACCCTTACAGGTTACGTGCACACTAGCGAACTGAAACAAGACTCGATAATGCCCAAGTTTCTGAGCGGTATTGCTACCGCTTTTAGAGGACGCAATACCGAGACTCACGTGGCCATGTCTCTCGCTATACACAATTACGGTAGCGACACGTATCTATTCGCGTTATGTCGGGAGGGCAATTTACGCATATGGTCTTGTAATAAATCGCAGTGCGTGGCTGTGGCGGACACGGCGATCGAGAATCGCGTCGCATTTTTAAGCGCGCAAGGACACATTCTGAGGAAAGCGATCGGCGACAATAACGAATTGTATCTCGGCACGTTCTTGAAATTCGGCGTCGGGTGCGAATTCAGCATTCTGAAGCCTGTACAAGAGAACGGCATATTCAAGTTCGTTAGATTGTGTACATTGTACGCGCCAGACGTGAGTATTAGACTAATACTACGCTTTTTTGTTCCATGCGTCACTGTATGTAACGTAACTATTATTATTTGCACAGCAACACTTAGTAGATTTCGCGTTCACACCTACCAGACTATGGGCGGTATGGAGAACCGCCGACATGGACACTGTTGCGGTGACGCACGCACAATTGCCGTTGGCCGGCGCGCAACGCGTCAATTCCGAATGGGAAACCACGATTCTGGAACAGGCGCGTGATCGGGATTACATTGTCATAGATCCCGGAATGGATCCGAGACAAGCGTATATCAATTACATTTTTCATCCCGGACAATTCTCACTGGCGGACATCACAAAAGCGCTCAGCATCTACAGAAGATCGAACGTGTTGGCAGAAATGACCTTTTCGCCCGCTGTTCTGAAGGAGAGAGTTTGCATGGCAGTAGAGGCCGAGATGCAGGCGGAAGTGATGGATTACGTGATCATGGACGAGGATTATCTCGAGATCGCTAATCGATGCTGGTCGAAATTTTACTCCTGCGTCGTCCAATATCACGCCAACGGCACTCGTCCCGTAGGTTTGCTGCTATTGCCGAACGTTTACGGTGTCGTTCTACTGAAGAAGTCATCGTTCTCGTTTCTAAGACCTATGGAAGCTCTGGAACATCTAGTGCTTTGCAACGATAAGTCATACGTCTCCCGTTTCAAGACCACTCCCGTTTTATCGCAAGACGAAGACATCTGTCAGGATCTTATCACTCTAATGTCGGCGTTGATTATGGTGGGGGAACAGTTGTCTGAAGAAACTAAAACTGAAATCGAAAGAGAACTGTATCATCTGAAGAGTCCGGACATCATAATCGACGAACTGCTGTCCAAGCTGATGTTGGAACCTGATGACCCAGTGAGTATTCTAATCACTTTTTTTCTTTGTAATCTTAACGCTAATAATTTTAAATGCGTCAACAGATGTCGGATTACGACTTCCAGTCTGATCTCTATCACAAACTGAGCAACGTTAAAGACATATCGGGCGCCATGGCCATGCTGTTGGAGGTTTTGACGTACAATCTCGGAGAGTCGAATAAGTCGCAGTTCGAAGACGATCACGACGCGTCGAAAGCTTTATTAAATGTCAGTCATTTATTTGGCAGCCAGCTGGGTATTTCCACGGTGGCAGAAACCGTGACACAAATAGCGGTCTTGAGATTTGCTATTTGCAGAGATTTGTTGATCCTACAACAGATCATACTGCTGCGTCCTGAGCTATTTGACTCGAGATCTTTGCACACTATAAAATCGTCGTTGGCACCCAGAACCGTCGTGCTTACTCAAGCTTACTACGTTGTCACTTGGATATGCGAGTCCATGGCGGCGCATACTCCTTCGCAGTCATTACTCGAATCCAGCTCTCAGCGTCTCTCGTCGACCCTGAAACTCACCGATTCACGAGTTAGTGTCGGACAGAGACAGCATCGATCTATGTCGCTCTTGGAACTGTTTATTCACAGCAGCGGCTCGAAAAATACTCATCTTCTGATGGCTCAAACAAACATGGATCCGACGGCTTTAATACCTTGGCACTACAGCATGCTGACGCATGTGACTCTTATCGCACAACTCATATGGCCAATATCGGGAAGTTTTATCTTTCCCGAGTGGTTGCTCTCCAGTTGTCAGTTCTTACTCGTGCAAGAATACGTGAGACTTCTGAATACGTGGTGCGAGTGGAACAGTTCGTCAAGAAAATTTATACTGGCGGTCGCGCTGCTGGAAATGGGAGAGATAGAAAAGGCGTGCGATCATTTCCTTCGCGCTTCCAACGGGATTCTAACCGACGTGTTTTTGGCAAACGCCTTGCTCAGTTCCAACGTTACGTCGGGAAACAACGCTCTGATTCATTATTATCTGAAAGTCATTAAATTGTTCGAGGAGCACAACGCGTCCGACTGCATTATCGAGATCGCCGAAACGGCGATAGCGACCGCGGACGCTGACGATCCGAATTTGCCGACGCTCCATTCCATAATATTCGCGCAACACTTGAATCTGGGTCACCACATGGAGGCTTATCACTGCTTGAACGCGAATCCGGACGCCGCGCGTAGAGTGGACTGTTTACGGCAGTTGGTCGTCACGCTGTTCGAGAAGAAAATGCTGATAGATTTGATTTCCTTCCCTTACGTCGATATGTACGAGGATCTCGAGAGAATAGTAGAAGGCAGAGCCAGAAGCGTTGATCTTATGGAAAACAATTATTACAACTTCTTGTACAGTTTCCATGTCAACAAGCAGAACATGCGGAAAGGTATAGGAAAAGTTTTTACAACTATAAATTATTTACACAGGTTTTTGTTGTGCACAATTCTAATGTATTTTTACAGCCGCGTCCGTAATGTACGAACAAGCAATGCGTTTGAGTCAAGAGCCTCATTCCGCGCCTATTATAGCTAAGCAAGCTCAGTGTTTGCTGGCGTGTATCAACGCCTTGTACCATGTGAGCGAGAAGTATAGGTGGATCGTGAGGCCTGTAATCGATCAAAGCGTGTCCGACGAGCCAAATTCGCCGAATCCGTCAAAAAAGAGAAGTGTAGACGGGAAAGAAGTGTTGCATTATAAAATCAAGAAACAGGTCGAGGTTCTCGAGTTGGATGATATCAAGAAGGAGTATTACATAGTGGACGCGCGGTTGAAAATATCGAAGGCAAACTCGGACATACATATAATCGCACACAGTGGTAAGGTTTTTATTCAGTTGCGTAATTAATTTTGGAGAAACAATGCTGCGACAACCTGTTAATGTGTGCACACTGTCGTATTTTTTTTTTAGAACCGTCGGAGCTCGTTGTCACTTTGTGCAGCATCGGCATGTATACAACGGCGCTACATTTGTGCGACAAGTTTAAAATCAGTAAAGCTTCCGTACTCGAAAGTCTGACTTCTCAATGCATAAAACTGAGTCAACGCGAGGATCCAAACGCGTGGGATTGGTTGTTGCAAAATGATATTTTTGGTATATAGACATTTTTTACACAAAACCGTTAGACTGTCGTAAGATGATTTTTCGAAGAATTGTTCAATTTTCTCTTCCAGATATTGGCATATCTAACACCACCGTCACGAATACTGCTTGGAGACTGTTGGAATATTTCACGTTGAACCACGAGAAAGATAATAATAGTGAATTACACAAAGCTGTCGCTAGAAAGTTACTGCAAGATGGAGCCTTTCTGCCGCAATGGTTATTAATGTCTTACAAAGTAGGCTTCAGTCTTGATCAAATTTTATATAAATTTTTTTTCTTTCTCTGTATAAAATATATTGGAGAAAATATTAATTTGTAAATACAGAAACGAAACGCCTCGGAGCTTCTTCGTCTTATGTTAAATACCGGTCGACTGTTGGAAGCCAGCGACTTGGCAGTGGACTATATTAAAGCGGTGTTAGGCAGCGGAAAAGAATATTTTGGTCTTGAAACAATATTGGTGGCTACCACCAACGCACCGCCAACTTGGTTGCCGCTTAACACCATCGAAGTATTGCTAAGCGAACTCGAGCATTTAAAAACAGATTCCACTCACAAAGAGGTACGATATGTTTCTGAAATTAAAATATAATGGGATGCCATATATATATTTAGTCAATTTGTTACGTATCGCAATTTACATTTTAGAACTACGAGAGGTTGCAAGCAACATTGGAGAAATATCTAGAAACAGTAAAACGTGTTTCGGAAGACATCGTTGAAATGAAAATGAAGGGTGAACATTCCTAGTAGTGAGTAACATTTATTTATTCAGTGTATATAATTATTATTGCAAATGTTATGTACATACATATATGCATAAAAAAAAATGTATCAAAAGTTTTTTATTCAATATAACATACATATAATCATATTATACGCAGTCCAGTTCATTATTAAGTATAAATTGGCTCATGATTATTAAGTGCAATCACAGTTGTTAATGCGATAATAATGGTAAGGATTACGGCAACAATTGCAGCCACCGTATGTGGACATCGTTTGAACAATACCTATAATCGTTGTTTAAAGTTCCAAGGTTTAATTAAAATAAAAGATCAATAAAAGAAATTTTCTTGATCACAAGTGTATAATAAAATTTTAGAATTACCATTAACAAAACAACCACTCCGAGAATAAAAATAGATCCAACAGGTAAAAATAAAGACTCCCACCGTCTCGACATTTCAGGATCTATAAAATAAAAAATAGAAAAACTAAAATTAATATTTAAAAAATATTCAACTAAAACACATAATTTTAGTGTAACGAATAAAACGTTCAGTTTATTTGCGCGGCATAGTAGGGAAAGCTCACCTATGCGCCAATATTGGATAAACTTATTGTACATGGGAATTGGAAGTCTCGTTATAATAGTTTTGTTTTTTGCAATTACAGAATCAAGCAAACTCTGTGTATCCACTGTTCGCGTCTCGTCTCTCAACTGGTCTTCTATGATGTACATATTCCTATCAATTTACCTGTACAATTAACTGAAACAGTATTGAATTGTTCAAGATTTTTGAAAATTGAGTTTAATTTTATATCTCTATTAAAAATGACTTTTCTATGTAATAGTGGAATGATTGTGTGAAGATTGAAAAGAATGTGGATTGTAAAGCTGGGTATACACCTAGCGAACGAACGCCGAATGAACAGCGAGCGCAAACGTTTGTTATTATCATTCGTCAGATGTATACGCCAAAACAAATGCCTCATGAGGGAACCAAACCAAATGCGAATCAAATGTTCTGTTCGCATTTGTTTTGGCGTATAAATCTGACAAATGATAATAACAAACGTTTGCGCTCGCTGTTCGTTTGGCGTTCGTTCGCTAGGTGTATACCCAGCTTAAGACACACCATTAAGTGAACACATCTTGTTAGAGTACAGTTTATGGTAAAGACATTTGTATCAAATGATTGTATCAGATGTTTGTTAATCTTTATTACTGTTGTCTTCATTATTTATTATTACTTTTCTTTTTTACATTTAATAGACTTACAAGTATTGCATTAAGAGTTTTCATATCTAATGTTGTAACTTGTTCCTTTGCAGTCTTGCCTCTTCTGTAATCTAACATAATGTTTATCAACATTTTCATATATACATATATATGTGTGTATATATGTATATATGTATGTATATGCTAAAGATTTATTAATATTATACATGAGTTCTTGAACTTTTATATTAAAAAGATTCTAATTAACAATCTCTGATTGTTAATATTAAAAATGATGTACCTAGACTTTTATAAAAAAAAAAAAAAAAGTTCTTGAAAGACTTACTGATTTATCCTATCATTTGTTATGCAAATTATATAATACTGAAACACAAAATACAATTGTGCATGTAATTTTCACAATTATTGTAATCTTAAAAAATTATATATATATATATATATATTCACAATATTATTTATAATAGCTATAATAAGCAACAAAACACTTGCTTTAGTTTTTCAAAAAATATTTTTTAAATACTCCTTTCACTTTTAATAATTTGTAATTTACGCTATAATTGTTTTACAAAACAATTTCTTGTTAATTCTCGGATTGTGCGTCACATGATTATAAATATGTGCCGGTAAGTCACGATTGCGTCGAAGAATGAAAGTTATTGCGTACACTCACCTTATTCCAATATACAAACATCTTTACGCACCAATGCGACGTGATTACTTGCACATCACAAGTAGAATATCACCGCCGAAACATGTGCGTACATATCTAGCTCGCGCGAAACAATGAAAATTGAATTACGAGTCAACTCCGCACAGCTGGCATGTTGCATTCGTTTTTGTACACAGTAACATTTCCCTTCGTATTGCTTCTCGTGTATGTATAACGAGCGACGGGGAGATAAGCAAGTTAAAAGTTCAATCTTTTCGAAGAACCGCACCGAGAGATAGTCTCAGTTTCAAGCTCGGTTTCAAGATAAATTCGAAAGTTTGTTCTCGGCTCAGTTACGTGTTACGTGCTTCAAGCATATGATTTCACACAGGAATCTCTGCCTGAACTATCGTTTTTTTAAAGAAGCAAAACAGATATTGTGATCCGGAAGAATAGACCAGTGTGGGAAACACGAAATGCCGAAGGGTGTTGCATCGAAACAAGAGGACCTCTAATTATAGGTATTTTTTGTTGCATTTAATCTTATCTATATATTTGATTATCTGCGATAGATACTGGATTTTGACGAAATTATCTAGATCGGGATGCGTGTGTGGTTCATTGGCATGGCGGCGTGATGGAAAAACCGGCTGATTTGTTGATGTTTGTATGTATGTAGGTGTTGATACCGCGTGCGAAAACTCGGCAGGATGATTAAAATATCAGCTCTCAATGAGGAATCGACCGAGGAAAGCGAAGAGGAAGATGTGCCTACGATTACGAAGGAGGCGCAGGTACGTAAGCATAAGGAATTATCGGCCTTCTGTTTACATACTCGTATAACCTCGTACGTTAATGTTAAGTATTCGCAAAAGATTATTTTGCAACATTTCTCCTTGTTTTTTACTTCGACATCGTTGCTAATAAAATCAATTTGCAATTTATCGTATATATTATTGTTGTACTATTTATTTAGCTGCCATTTAGTACATACAATATGTAGTTGTATATATGCACATGTATGGATGACTTACTGTATTAGTGTTTTTTATTTATTAGGTAAATGTTCACGTGGTATTTTTATCTAATTATATTTTATGTCTATTGTTACATGTATGTGTGTATATTATGTACATATGTATATATACATATGTATATAAATGTCACACATTAAAGACGTAATGTAAACATTGAGGACGCTGTACGATGATTTCTTTCAGGAACAAATAGCATTGACTGAATACAATAAAGCCTTAGAATTGACGAAGGAGAATAAGCAAGAAGAAGCACTAGTTATTTTTAAGGATCTCTTAGAAACTGAACTGTTGGACGAAGTGGAAAAGCCTCAGGTGCCAGATGGCAGATCAAGACCGATGTTATCCCTGAAATATTCCTGTTTCAAGAACATCGGCGCTATTCAGGCAGCGTCTGGCAATTACGAAGATGCAATAGATAATTACTGGGAGGCTGCAAATCTGGATGAGTCCGATGTAACCTTATGGTATAGGATTGGCACATTAGCCATGAAAATTTCTAACTTAGAATTAGCTTGCTCGTCTTTTAAGCAAGGTCTGAAGTGCAATTCCAATCACTGGCCATGTTTGGACAACTTAATAACTGCCTTATACGCCGTTCCTGATTATATGAACTGTCTGTTATATATTTCTATAGCATTGGAAAAGGATCCTACCTATGTAAAGGGTCTGGCTTTTCGCGATAAAATATTTAAAGACATTCCGTATATGAAAGAATGTTATAAGTGGTACAATAGTGATTGGGAATTAGATCCGCCATTGTATACTGAATATGATCACATGTTGGGTGAAAAATTATTAGCAGAGGCGAACGTAGTTTCTCAAAAATGGGCGGAAGCTTGTAAAGAAGAGTTTACACCAAAACCGTTGCCTATTTTGACTTTAAGAATGCCTTTGACAACTTATACGTGGTTGGCTCTCGGAGAAAGTCTAGTGGACATGCACATGTATATCACTGAAAACAATTTCAACTTTGTTAGTAGAATTATATTGTTGGTTGAAAATCCAACTGACAAGAATACAGCAGCGAATAACGAGTGTGAGATTGAAGAGAGTAATGGTATGGAAATAGATCAGCAGGATGATTTCATTCCGAATGATGAAAGTGACATCAAACCTGTTAAAATCGAGACGGAAGATTGCGAAATGTCAGATGACAATCAGGTCTTCAACACGGCTTCGGACACGGCGATGGAGGCTGAAACTGAAGATGATAAAAAGTCTTCTTGCTCAACTGATGTGCAAATAATCGAGGATGACGATCAGTTAAGAATGTCTGACACGGATGGTTTGCAATGTGAAGAACAAAGTGAGACGAAGAATATAGATTTGGACGAACATATGCACTCTGTTGAAGTTGACGCAAATACCGACAAATTGGAAAGTGATAAAGTTACCGATGATGTCTATAGCACGGATAACGGAGCTCCTAATGAAAAATCCAGCGACAAGGAAAGCGACAAATCAAGCGATAAAGTTTCCGAGAAAGACACCGAAAAGTTAAATGAAGCAACAAACAAAACGGATGATAAAACTCATTCTGAAAAAGTGGAACGAAAAGAGGAAGGACAAAAGGTGAAGAAGAGGCGCAGAAGCGCGTTGTGTTTTTTGCAACAGTGGGCCTGGAGTTGCAGCAGCATGAGACGCTCCGCGAGGGTTAGAGGTTCAAACAGAAGAGAAGCGGAAAGGGACGATGTCCTGTTGGAGGAAACACTTCGAAGATTGTTTCCCAGTACTTTGCTGTATGTATGTCGCACGCAGTTTCACACTTGTGTTAAATGTATAAAATATAAATTGTATCGAATTTTTTTGTGCAGACCTGATACAGTAAGATTGACTAAAGACGACGTTGCTAAGAATCTCGAAGACTCTATGGACACTATGGATATGTATCAGTTATTTTCGAAACAAGAGAATAAAAGTAATAACACGGAAACCCTCAAAAGCTCGGAAAGTTCGAAATCACCAAGTCCGGATGCTAGGTATTTAATCGATTGATAGTTTAGCTTCTGTCTCAAAAAAATAAAGAAAATGTTTTTATTTGCACACAGTCGGACGCAGAAGTACTTTGGGACAGAGGCAGAAACTGCTGACGTGAACGCATTTATAGATGAGTACAGTAGTAAAAGTAATCTAATGATAATCATCAAAAAATTTACGGAATTTTTATGTACCAAGTGGAACCAAGAATGGCCAAAAGGAATGTCAGAAGTTTATTTGCAAGCGTATATTTTCATGAGGTATGTGTGTGTGTGTGTGTAAGGATTGCTTACTGTAGTGTTACAAGCAAAGAATTTCAATTACATCTTTTTCAGACAACATATTCCGCATTTGTCGCCATTTAGTGAAGACGATAGTCTCGAAGATCTGAAGTTAGATACTGAAATGACACTGTTATTCGGCGAGCTGCATACAGACAGATGGCTGGATACTAAACCGGACGCTTTGGCAAATTCAACGTAAGTTTCTGTAATGTAATTCAATCTTAACTTCACGTTATTTGTAATATATTTTAAGTATATTGAAACGTTCTTCTGAAGCAGATTAGATAAACTTGGCACTGGCTTGCCTGCGGAAGAATTGGGACATATAATATTCACAAGCGTTCGGCAGGATCTTGTAAACGAGGAACATTTGAATATTTTACTGAGAATTTTATGGCTTAAAGCTAATATCTTCTTATGCCAAGGTGATATAGACGTAGTTATTGAAACGCTAGAATTGGTAAGAATGTTGTATTTTAATGAAATTTTAATGAAACTGTAGTGGCTTTATTATATAAACTATAAATATAAATTTCAAGTTATTGAGTCGCCTGCGAGAAATGGAAAGTCAGAGTTTGAATCCATCTATCACTCTTCCGAACTGTAAAAACAACTCTCATATCAATGTCAGACTTGTACAGAGGAAGCTAACATCAATTCAAAGGTTTTTATATTCTTAGTACGATTATACGCGATAGTATATTGAAATCGATTGTTATAATTTAATTTATCATCGCACAGAGGTCAGAAGTTGGGTGAGATTCAACGTTTGTATGACGAGAAAAAATATGCTGAACTATCTTATATACTGCAGGACACTTTCAAATTTGCCAAACAAAGACACAAATTGTTGATAAACAATGAAAACATCATTGACAGAGTTAGACAGTTGACCATATTACTCGACAGTCTGTGGCAACTTCAGCAATATGAGGTAATATTTACTGGTATTGACAACTTTAACGTATATGTTTATATGTATGTGTAAGTAAATATTAGATTTTTAACACAATATCGAATATCTTTTAGGAATGTTACGTCTGGGCTGAAGCATGTCTCAATGAGTCATGGCAAAATTACTTGAATTCTTCCGATGAAGCCGAACAGAAGAAATGGACGAATTCCGTTGTAATGGCACTCGAAAAATTAGAGGCCTGTACGATCGAAGTTAGTGTGTTCGTCGGTATGAGAAATTACGTCTATAATATTATGTGAGACTTGCGGCACAACGCATTATCGCACATCTTATACTTTTTGTACAATTTTAGTGAAATACTTGCCGGAACCTCGTTTGTCAAGATTGGTGCAGAATTTAGTGCACATCGTTTGCCATCAATTGGACATACCGGAAAGTACGTCATATGTGGAGATGCCGTTGGAAACCGTTCTGCCTTGGATTTTGTTACACTACATTCTGGAGTAGTAAGTTATTACCAGAAAAAAAAAACGTGTATAGACATGTGTTATTGTCACATATAATTTAAAATCGATCTGTTAATAGCGAGGAAGACAAAGAAAGGGCAAAGACTGAGTCGTATAAAAACAAATCGCACAGCTCTCATCAGTCCGAGTCGGATGATGAGGATGACGTAATTCCGCCGTCCATTATGATTTTGTTCACCGCTCATGACTTTCTCGGCAGACACTCGTGGTGTTGCTTCAACGAGGCCAAACTTCTGTTTTTCACTATGAATCTTATCATACCGCAGCTGGAGACTCCTCAATACGCTTCCATCAAGAATCGACTCACGAAATATTTGGAACAGATATTCTTTTGTCTCTACGGCCATCCGAACAGAATGAACAAAGCACGGCAACCGAAACATCTTATAGAACACGGAGTACCCCAGATGGAATTAACGTGGGAGGGAGCGCAGTTGCTGTTCGATTTTTACAAACCGAAACAGCTGCCCAGCTTCCAGTGTCCCAGAATACTCTCTATCAGCATGGACACAGAGATGCTGTTCAAGAGAATAATCAAGTTGGTTCCGCAAGAGAGCGACCCAAGTCAAATAGTGGACGATATGACAGCGTACATAATCGGCACGAGGGAAAAGATGCCCAGTGTGGCAAAACCCTTACCGCACGCGATATCCACCATTTATTATTTGCTGGGTGATTTTTATTTTAAGAACAGTAAATGGGAACACGCGTGCCGATATTACCTCTTGGATCTGTGTCTCTATCCAAGAGGAATAAATTCGTGGGCGGGTTTGGCCATGGCAACAGGCAGCATAATTGAAAATTGGTTGAACAATTACAGACCTGTGTGAGTGCTGCTTAAATTTTTTTTCTAGAATAATTTAAAAAATTAAAATTATATATAAAGATGTTTTCTAGATTTTTCAATAAATAACTTAATAACAATAATATTTTCTTGTCAATGTGTTTAGAGGAAAGGACAAGTTCCTAAATAAAGCAAAAATAGCACAGTCGAGTTATCAACACGCCATCGAGCTGGCGCCTGGACATTCAGTGATTTGGACGGAGTACGGAAATTTCGTTTATATGGTGCATTCGTTTTGTTCGCGACTGCTCAAACAGGAAACCGATACGTTGAGCATGGAGAGATTCGAAATTTTGGAAACCAGGAAAGAAGAGATGCTAAAAATCGCGGATCAGTGCTTCGAGTCTGCCAATCGAATATGTCAAACTATCGAGGAACCGTCGGTACAGCACGATGAGAGATGGCTTTATCAATATATGCTTGGTAAAGTTGCGGAGAAGAAGAATCAAGATCCTTTCGTGTTCTTAGAACATTACGCAAAGGTTAATTGTTTTGTTTTGTTACGCTGTACAATTTTTGTTTTAGCCAATATTTTCTTCAAATTCTTTTCTAGTTTGATCAACATTACGATCTTAATTTCAGGCTAGTGAATTGCTTTATGAGAATAACGCTCAATATCCACGTAGAATAAGCCATAAGAGTCCCCAGAATTTGTCTATAGAAGCGCTAGAGGTTCATTATCGTATTCACGCTAGTATACTGAAGTATTTGGAGCAACACGAGGGAAAACCCCTGAAGAAATCGTTAGGTCAGTTGTTTCACTGGCATCTCAAAAATTGTTCCGAGGGTCCCTTTATGAAATATCAGTCCAAACTTAACGAGAAGAAGAAGGAAGAAAACGCCGAAGCTGAGAGGAGTGTCTCGAAGGAATTCGACGTCGCAGCGGATGCGGATAAAGGCGCAGCCGCGGTGTGTCAACAACGCTCAAGTAGTATTGAAGAAATAGAAATTGTAGATAGATCGAACAAAATCTCTGATATTAAATCCACCGAGACAGCGAAACAGTTCGAGAGTCGTAAAAGACTTCCCGATGAACAGTTGCACGACAATACGAAGAGAATAAAATTAAGTAATATTTCCCACTTACAACTGATGCAAGATGTTGTAGCCTTAATAGACGATTTAATTTCGAAAGTTTGTGATATGGTAACGCAAAAGGAAAAAGTAAGCGACGAAGTGATGATCGTGGTATCCAGTGACGAAAGCAACGAAGCGAGATTGCAGAAGAAGAAACTAGAGAGCAAAAGCTCCGAAAAACCGAGGTCGCAGACAAAATCAGATGAGAATAAGAAAAGTTCGATAAATATATTGGCAATCGATGCCGAACGTAAGACTGACAATGTACAAGATTTAATGGACGCTCTCATGAAACAAGCGATGGAAAACAGTCAGGAGACTCAGCAGTCTTCGGCGGATGACGAAGAATCAAGAAAATCCGAAGGCAAATGGTTACAGAACGAAGACTTGCAACCAACCGTACGTTCGTTCGATTTTTGTTATTTTTTTTTATGGTTTTGCACTTTGTTTCTTAACATAAATCCTTTTTATAAGCAATAAATTAATACAAATATCTTTGATATAATTTATTACAGGAGAAAGATAAAGAGAAAATGGATGAGAAGAGAAAATTGCAAGCTAACGCGAATGAAGAAGTAACTTTAAGTAGAAGGGGTTCTCAGGAAAGCACCACGACTCAAACTACAACTACGACTACGGAAACAAATAATTCTAGTTCTAGTAGTAGCGAAGAATCTAGCAGTAGCGACGATAGTTCCGACAGTGATAGTTCCAGCGACAGTGACAGCGAATCTGTCGAAAGCGATGCGGAGAAAAAGAAAAAAGATTCTGATAACATGGAAAACGGTAAGTTACAAAATTTCTTTCATTTTGCTTAATTGATAAAACATCAAATTAATTAAATGTTGACGTAAACAACATGTTAGTGAGACGTACATAAAAATTATTGCTTTGTGTTTTCTATTATAGAAGAACAGATGCCGGAAGACGAAGTGGCGACATTGATCGCGTATTGCTTGGCTGGTTTGGAACAGTGTGTATTAAGATTCACGGAACATCACAAATCTTTTTACAGACTCTCGCACTTTTTCTTTAACAACAAAAAGGCAAAGGACACTACGAAATGCAAGGATCTCTTATTGGGAACGTACAACTGTCAATTCTATCCTGGGCAAACTTTTCAAGGACTTTTCGCCGAAAGAAGAAGTACTAATTTTTTCAACGTAAGTGAAACTGTATATTATATATCTTTAAGTACATATATTTGTAGAGATACAAAAACGATACAAAATCAAAGTAACTTAACAGAGAGACAATAATGATAATTTTCAAATTTAACTCAAATCACGTTTTCAATGAAGATATTGTAATATGAAATTTTTGAACGCAGTTATATTAATAGTTTTTATAACATTCGCATTGTGCATTTTGTTATCGTTATCTAGTGCGACTGAACCTCTATTGTCACCTACGAGTATCGGAATCAATTTAGTTTCGAAAGATTCTGTTATTATCTCCGGTTGTAGCACAGCTGCCATAGTTATGCCGTCAGCTGGTAGCCATGTCTCTGATTTCTCCAAAGAGATTCTTTCCGCTTGTTGTAGAAAATTTGCGATGGAATGATCTAACTTACTGTAAAGATCTCGATATTCTTCCTGTTTCAATAATAAATCTATTACTTAGAGATTAATTCTGATGTGTGCGCTTGCATACATATAATGACATTATTACCTTTAAAATAGAAGCAACTGTCTCTATCGGAAGTACAGTGATGGGTTTATTGGTGTTATTAAATGTAATCCAGTTGCTTTCTGGATCTTGACTGAAATTATATTCGATTATGTTTTTGTAGATATTTGATCCCATTACGACATGGTGTTTTACTAAGTGCAAGAAATTAGGTTCTAAAGCAATTGCTGTTGCAATTGTCGTTAGGGGTCCAAGTGTGACTATAGTTATTTCGTCTGCAAATAAAAGAGACACTAAATGTTTATCGTAACAAATACGTACAAATATGAACAAATATACATTTCACACATGCTATGAATAGATTTTAAAACAACGCGGAAATACCTGGATATTGCTTTATCAATTCTACAAGTACTACGGAAGCGTGCTTTGATTTGTCAATTTTTGCAATAATTTCACGAGTAAAATTAAAATCTCCAAATCCATCTTTACCGAAATAATCGCTAAACTGGTACGGGTATAGTAATGGTTTCTGGGATCCACCATACACGGGTATCTGTAAGAATTAAAAAATGAAAAGACACTATATAAACGATGTAAAACAATTAAAAATAAAAAGTAAAAAGATTAATATAATTTCTAATATATGTGAAAACACTCACATCACTTCTGTTAGCAACTGTTAATATTTTTAATACGTTTTCTTCGGCATTTTTCAAATATGTGTTTCCATATGTGGCGGTTATAGCTAAAATTTCAATATCGTGAGTTTTGACCTCGTACATAAGAGCCAACATTATTGCTAAAGCGTCATCTCCACCAGGATCAGTATCTATCACCAATTTTTTTGGTTGCGATTTGCAGTACCTTTGATTATTTTACATGCAAATTATATATATATAAATGTTATGTGCGGTTATATTTATTATATACTGTTACTTTATTATTTAAAGTTAAATATTTTACAATTATTACGTAAAAATGGCAGATTTTTATAATAACATTTTTTATAAGTTACGATTTGTAATATTTAAATAATATACAAATATTGATTTAATCACATTACCTTGTGCTAAGACAAAGTAGATTCAAAAATATTATTATTGTGGACATAATACTACAAATGTTAATCATTTTTTTGTCTTGTAATTATCTGATAAAATCTGTAATTAAAGATTACAAAAATTAACATATATTGCAAAACTATACACACACATATACGTACAGTTGTTCCAATTGATTATACTGCAGAGTGTAAGACTTACTGCAGTAAACGAGTCAGTTGGAACGACTGTACATGTGTGTAATAAAAACAATTTGTACTGATGATAACAAATTTATTATTTGATTTGACCTTGCTCTGTTATATAGCAATTCTCTTTGAATTTGCCATATAGTGCTTTGAGTTTGTATTGGCATGCAATAAATTATTATTTATAGGGAGTATGGCATATACCTGTTAATGAGATTGACAGGCCTGGAAGTTTTGCCTCGCATATGTCGAAATGTGTGACATTGCTGATGCAAGTGTTAAAGGAAAGCAATGACAGCCGTATGTTAATGCAGTTATGCATGCAGTTGGGAAAAATTCCGGATTCGGACAAGTAAGGCTTATAACAATACTTTGTAACATTGTATTTTGTCATAACAAGAAAAAAATAGCAAAGAAACATTATCAGTAAAAAAGAATGAATAATGAAAAGAAAATGATATTTTCTTTTGTTTAGAAAATACTTACGTGATTCTGAGAGAGAACAGTTATCTCGGCAAGCTCTAACACTTTGTCAACAATCGCTTAGAAGTAGAGTGCAAACGATGGGTTCGGCAAGCAGTATTGAGAGCGTTCATCTCATTAGAACGGATGCCAGAACGCAAGTACTGCTTGATGTATACGAAATATATCAACTTGTTCAAAAGCACTTTCAGGGGAAAGAATCAACTATACAAACATTCGCAACATTGTTGATAGACACTTACAAAATGTATATAGGAAGCAAAGTAAGTATATTAAATTTTTCAGAAATTTTACATCTTTCTCTTACTATTAATCTTTGTCAATAAAAGAAATCAAATCTGTGTTGAAACGTCTGCTTATGTAACTAACTTGTTTTTCATACTTTTAAACTTATCTTATCTCTACGAACATCGTATGTATATTTCTCTGTAGATCGTACTTATCTCTGTTTACATTTATACTTATCTATGTTTATATACTGTATGTTTTTTATCGTTTATTACGTAACAATAATATTGATTAATAGTAATCTAATAGTTAATATTAACAATAATAATAGTTAAAAATATAAATATAAAATAAAACTATTTTTTATGTTAGAGTAAATTGTTGCAATAGAATGTCATCTGTATAAGAGAGTTATTAATTGCAAGTAATAGCAATTACTTTTTCGATACGTTACAGAATTTGGAAGGAAATGCTTTGGAGATTGCTATTAAATGTTGTCAACGCCAGATACAGGCGAACAAAATCGCGTCGATTAACAGCAGCAACAACAGCTCTCACATGCAGTCTCAGCCTGCATCTGTTATTTCGGTAAATAAACGCCATCGATTTTTTGTTATCTCGCATTTGACAATATTTTTAATGAAAAAAAAATATATATATATTTTATTGCAGCAGGCACCTGCGCCGCAAGCGCCGGTGAATTCGACAACCTCGCAAGTTTTGCAAAATCGCAAACCGCATAATCGAAATCTAACATCCACTGGACGTCCACGGGGTCGACCGCCCAACATGAACAAATATCTGCAGCAAGCCATGCAGAATAGCAATATGATGAATCAATTTTCCAAAAATAGCTTTGCAAATTATTTAGGCGCGTCCGGACCGAATCGTTCCCTGATGAATCCTTATTTTATGAATCCGTTGGTCGATCCAAATATGTTATCAGCTTTTCTGGCCAGTGGATTGGGGGGCAATATGATGGATCCTCTGTCAGCAATGAGCTATTTGAATCAAGTAGGGAGCTACCAAGACGTGTTTCGGCAGTATCAAAGCAATTTGTCGTCGTTGACCAATCTCGCCAGCGGTTTAAACAACCCTGGCACCACGTTAACCGGTATCAGCAATGTCTCAACAATAAGCACGTCTACTTCCAATATCAATACTTCAAGTAATATCGGTAACTTGAGTAACATAAAGGGATCTTTGGATTCTCTGGCTATGCAGCAGTTATTAAGCAATACTACAGCATCAACATCATCACGACCGACGCCTGTGTATCCTCAAACGGCCAAAATCAGCACATCCATATCGTTGACGAAAGATCGACCCAGCATCTCGATAACACCGGTGAGCGCGTCGATGAGTAGCCAACAGCAGTCTCATCACAAGCCGAAGCCCAGCAAACAGCCGAGCTCGTCGCAAACCGATTCGGCGGCATTACCCGTTCACATTCCCAAATCGCTTCAGATATCACCCACGAAATCAGTATTGCATCCGCCGAGCACGGCGGCGCAAGTGTCACTGCTCAAGCCGTCTGTTATTCAGCAAGTGAAGAGCAGTCCTCCGAAACAGATGGGCGTTCCGCAAATACGTGTTTCGAAGTCGCTTACCGAACCGCAACCTGCGCACAATTCCTCGCTGTCGTATTCTCCTTTGAAGAGTAACAGTAATACTGTAACGACAAATCCTACCATACCGCAGGTTGCTCATACGTCCATGGGCACGTCAGTGATCATGAAACAGCAGCAGACGTTGCCCATGAACCTGCCCAACGTGTCGCGTACTGGTACGTCGTTGCAGCATAAGTTATTATCAAAAAAGAATTTGCAGCGACCATATTCAGCGCAGACAAGTATGCAGAATCATCCTGTGAGAAAAGTAAAATCAACGATGAAGACGACAGGATTGATGCCCGCACCGATAACCAGTAGTTTTCCAAATCTATTGAATACAATATCATCCGGAAATTCCGCAACGATGTCGCAATCGCCTTTTATACCGCCTGAACTGAGCGGCATCTCGGTAAGTCCCGTTACAGGTCCGCAGCAGTCCAGCAGCATCAAGGCCGCAAGCGCCAAATATCACGGCTACAAGAAAACCACGAGCAAGCCGAAACCGGCCGCGCCAGCGACGATCGATGTGCCACCGAGCTCGTTGCCGGCTTCGTTTTCCCAGAACAGCTCGGTAGAAGCGTTCTCAATGCTGTCGCAATTGCAGCAGCACTCGCATTTGGAGATAATACCGCAGCAAAAGACGGTGAAAGGCAACATAGATTATTCCAAGAATCTCCCATCCTCTATTATGCAGAAAATCCCAGATAACTTGAGGCCGCCTACGTCCGCGGAATGTTTGCCTATGTACGATGTATCGAGAGGAAAACCTGCTAACGTTTCGAGCAAGAAGCCACAAGATAAAGTTGTCAACGACAGTGTTGAGATTATAACATTGGACGATTAAAACTCGTAACGAATATTTATGTATTCTTTTTTTTGTTTATGAAAGTAAAAAAGAGTTATACGTTATTATTATCAATGTTTTACTTTGGAATAATGAATTACACAGAAAATTTATAACGCTTGTTATTAGATTATATAAAAATTTAAGTCTTTTTTTCTTTTTATTTATTTATAGCTACCTACACACTAAGCGAAAGAGAAATACAGACGTGGAACTTTGAATTTAAATTATACATCCATTACGATAAATGCATTTCTATTTATAAAAACTAGCTTTAAAAAAAATGCATATCAATTGCGCTAGAATACAAAAAACTTCGATATTTTGATTTTGCTAATTTAACCTTAGATACATATGCACTGTGATGTGTGAGATTTCAGCAATCACAGTAAAGTGACGTTTTTTTTTTAGATTGAAAAGAAATTCATATTTTTTAGCGTATTATTTTTGGTACTTATCACGATTTTAAACTAATTCTGAGTGTATATTGTTTACTTCGTTTATGATATCGTTATAAAAACTTAATCACACGTAATTTTCTCGAGCAAAATCATGAAAAGCAAACTGGTTGACGTATTCTAGAGTGTGGTATCTACGTATATAAAAAATAAATGTGCATACACCTAAGGTTAAATGTAATTATTAGAAATAATTATATTTATGTATATATGTTACTTTTTTCTTTTTTGTAAAAAAAAGTTTAGGTATAATTAATTATAATTTGAAGTTTTATAATACTTTTCGCGTTTTTTTTATGCGAGATTCGCTACTCTTTCATTTTTATATATGAAGAGATATAATTATTAACCCTTTTGATGTAGACACACGCAACACGTCACAAATTTTTTGAACTTTCAAAATAACAAATTACATTGTTCCATTACTAATTCCCGCGATTTATAGACACATCTAAAATCAGTTGAAAAACACTTCGATTACTTTGTTCTCTGTCGTGCTCACATAGACATAACTGAAACATCATGTTGCTTTTTCAAGGATTCTATCAAGACGTTTTTGTATGAAAAGACGTTATTTTTATACCATATTGCATACNAAGAACAATAGGACTTCCTTCTACGTGTACAGTGAACCGAATGTAACTAGTTTCTCAGTAAACGATNTTCTAAGAAAGATTTGTAACTCGTCTTGGCACAGTAAAAGAATATCTGAAATCAAGAACTACTTCTCTTGTGTGTTCCTTCTGGTTTCAAGAATCCTTTCCTGGCGATTTTCTCTATTCTCAAGTGATTGTTATCGAGGTATGTCAAATGTGCGAACGCAGCTAAAATTCGTACGCACAAATTTCTCATGTAAAAATAATGCGAGACGTGATATAGTTTGTTCAATGTTTTTATTTAAAGTTTTTATATCAAATTAATAGTGCACATACATATTTATTTATTCTCTCATAAGGAGAGAAGATGCATCTCTTGATTTGTATTTCAAATATCTGTCGTTTGATTAATCTGCTTTATTTTTACTTTTGTTTCAAATCACTTATCTTGAACGAGTTTGCAATGAGTCCGTGAACACCCAAGCCTTCTATCGCGAATACGGAGCCAGCGTAAGGTGTCTCTTTTCGCTGTTCCGCGGTTAAACCATGACCCGATGTAGTCACGTACAAAATATCGAGAAGCGGACCACCAAATGCAGCACTGGTCACATTTTCAGCTGGGAGCTTAATTTTGCGCAGCAGTTGTTTCGTTTTGGGATTTACATTGATAATCTGGACAAAAGTGTTTTGTGTTTTTACGTGTAAATCTTCACAAGGATAAACATTTTTTCATGCCACGTAAATCCATCCTCTTGTATACTCACATGATGTCCACCGAACAGCGCTATCCAGAGATTGCCATCTGTATCTATGGTCATTCCATCAGGTACTCCGCTGAGGTCAGTGTCGTTCAAATCAAATACAACTCTTCTGTTACCTATATAAAATATAAAAATTATACAAGAGTGAACATATGGATCTAATTTTCTCCCACAATTTTATAAATGTGTCATTTTAATTTGCCTCACTGTTACATGTAATTATAATTGTAGATTTTTAGATTAGGAGAACGCAACAAGACTTCTTACTGATTTTCCCGTTAATCGGATCGTAGTCATACGCCGCGATTACACGCGTGGGCGAATCAATGTAATAGAAAGTGTCGTCCTGGATATTCCACGCCAATCCATTACTAATGGAAACAGGACTTATCTCTACCACGTGTTTCATCTCATCGTCAATGCGGGATAATAATCCTAGGTTTGGCGGCGACGGTTGTCCATCAATTTCGTCACCCATAGTGCCTGTTAAAAAAACATATATTTGTATATGCAGGACCGCAACGAGCGCAGGTAATTTAAACACACGCCGCATTTGACCCATTTGATCATGTATATTTTACCGATCCAAAGTCTTCCGGACGAATCGGCCTTTCCATCATTGGTTCTTGTATTGGTGTGGGTAAGATCCACAGTAGTTAACACCTTGGGTTTTGTATTTGACAGATTTTCCGTTCCGTTCCAAGTAACAAGAATAACATCTCTTCCGGAACCAGCTACAAATTCGTCTGTTGAATCATCCACAGGCACTACAACTGAAACGGGGCCATGATCTGGAGAGAAAGAAAATTCATTAAGTAAATATTTGTGAAACAATACATTAAAATAACAAGAAATATATGTGTATTCTTACTTATGTATGTACTTGTCACAACACCTGTCGCAACGTCTAGTCTACGTATGTACTGGTTGTAGATATCGACGAAGTACAACTTTTGAGTACGATGATCCCAGTGAGGCCCTTCGGAGAGACCGTAAGGCTCCGTCACTCTCTTCACTTGCACGTTTCTGCAAATAAACAACAACACGCGTTCTGCACTCCCTGCACTCGAAACAAGAAACAGCTGTTTGGTCCGCGAGGGGAGAGGAGAGTAAACAACGCGGTGAAAAAATGCGCGTTCTCGTTTATCACATACTTGCGAAAGAAGGTAAGAAATGAATGCGCCAAATGGAGAACAGAAACAATTTCTTTCCCGAAACACAAAACGAATCGCAATTGTTATATCAAATGTGTTAATATTTACGTCGTCATTCTAAATCGCCAATATCCGTGCTACAATTCGAAGATGGAAAGAATGGGGAGATTCAAAACTCCGGAGAAAACTCGAAGAGACAAAAAGTCGAGTCGAGTCGTGCGGAACGAATGGGATAAGAGACGGCAATTGAGGAAACGCTTGTCGAGGGGAACCGAGCGCGAGCGAATGAAATATTAACTCGCGCTATAGACGAGACGTATAATCGCTTCTGATTGCTTGAACAAATATAGCAATCGGTCTCTGACGACGATGGTCCTGCCCTGACAAACATCGCGATGCCTTTTTAATTAACGATAAAGACATTACGCTGTAATGATAACGATAAACATCACTTCGCTGAGCGAAAGGTTATCGCCGAACAATTCGTATTTTGCAAAATCTCGGAAAAATAAAATTTATGCAACAGCTTCTTGCATGTGCAACAAGCATTTGCATAAATAGTTTGGATTAGCATCAGATGAGCAATTCGCAGGAAATTCGCGCGTAATTTTTGTTTTTAAATAATTTGCCCGGAAAAAATGAAGACAATAAATCGACAAAAACAATTAGTAATTGATTGGAATTGTTTTTCCGGAATCAGTAGTTTATATTTGAGTTTTTTGAACGTAATATAAATAGCAACGTCGATGTTGAAAGAAAATTGACGAGACGACGTCAGATATTATTTTCCACTTGTATCAAGTAAACACATAGATTAGAGAGATTACTCTATTCTAACTAATAAACGGAAATTACAAGCACTCGTGAGTTTTTTTTCTCTGATAAATGAAGTATATTATCTCTTCCCTTCTTTTCTCTTAAGTCAATTTAAATGTGTTCGATGTGAACTGGATTCGTCTGAGATGCGCTAATAATCGCTCACGCATTCGCGAACACTACCACACGCTGTGTAACGTATCTCCAGCCCTTCAATTGCAAACTTTTGCAAAATCAATTCTTTAATTGTTCCCGACACTTCGTTTTCACGCTAAAAAAATGTTACATAACGCGCGATGAGTGTCAAATAACGAGTCGACTTGTTTTTTTTGCAACCGTGCGTGGCATCTCGTTAATTTATGGAATATGTAAATCCTTTCACTTACTCAGCGTGTGCGACGGCAAGAATCACGCAAGCCAGCGACACGTACACGCAAATTGTACGTCCCATAATGAGTTTTTATCCTCGCGTATTGTCTATATGGTTGTCCGAAAGAACTCTGTTCTAGCAGGGTTGAAAGAATCAAGTAAACCCAAATCGCATCGGCTTAGTTCTTATATACGCGTATCCGCGCTCCTTACCTTCACCGACAACGGTGCGTCGATTCGGTGACCAAGTTTCAGTGAGTGTTTTGTATGATAAATGATATTAACATTAGTTACTAATGGCTGACGTATAAATTTGTTTCTTCGACGACAAGTCGTCAAAATGTTATCGGACACATCGCTTATTAATGACATGATGTAAAAAACTAGAACTTTTTAATATAACGATCGATATATCATATGCTTTTACTTCGATAACAATCTGTAATCGATTGGCGCAGAAGAACCGCTTATGCGTGAAAATTTATTGTGATAATGTCACACACCATATTTTTAATCATAAATCAAAATGATTTAAAGAACTTTTATACGAAATTAACGAAAAAAAAGAACAAAATTACACTTTTTGCACTGCAAAAAAAAACTGCATGAAATTGTATGAGAAAAGATTGTAAAGTTCGAAAAGAAAAACGATTAGATAGAAGTCAAGAAAATATTTTAATATATTCAGTAGAAGTTTGTAAAGCCACGTGTTTTTAGTTGTTCAACCAAAACAAAATTAGTTAACAAATAGATTCGTGTGCAGAGATAATACACGCGCGCACTGTGTATCATACACCTGGTTTATGTGACAAATGAGAAGTCACGTAAAAAAAATATAATAACAAATAAATCGCACGTGTCATTTGTTATATGGGCCGAACGTTTCTCTATGTAAAATTGTGCAAACCTTGACCGATATGCGGATGTATACGACGGATATTCAATCATGCGAAGTAGAGACTAGGAAACGGAGATCGATAGCAGATTGTTAAAATGAAAAAAATAAAACTTCGTAGTGTTAGGTGCTTCACTCGACGCAGCTTAAAATATGATTTTTTTTGTGATCTCTTCGCGATCTTAGAAGAGAACAGTATACAATATGTATATACTTAATACGGTTAATTAAACTTTTTATATAAATATACTTGCAAACGAACGATAAAACAATTTACCGGTTAAATTTAATTGTTAAATTCGCTGGTTGTGTACGTGGTCTTACAGCTGCAGCTCTGGAAACTTCATCGTATCTCCAATCTGTAATGGTTTCGATATTGAAATTAGAACATCCTTGACGTCTATTATTCACGTCAAAACAGACTTCAAGAGGATTTTCTCGACGACTAAATTTTTACAACATTGTAACGTTTTTTAAAAAATGACATACTTATTGAAGAACTCTTCTCTCAGAAGTGATTGTTCAATTTAGGTTTTAGTACAAATAAATAGCATCTCTCTCTTTCTTTCTTTCTTTCTTTCTCTGGTATCGCTTTATTTACAGATTTTTGTTTACTAAAATCTATAAATATTGTTTTGGGCTTATGTATGTACATATTAATTGTTTCTATACAAACAGGTGAATACATAGCACGGACTCAATCCAAATGACAACGAGATTATCCTTCCGGGGTTTCTTTTTGTGCGCGAGCAATTATTCCACCCACTCGTCAGATAACAGCACGTGTCTTCAACCTGCTCGTCGCGCGATCTAACGTCGGCGAGGGAAACGCGAGCGACAAACGGAAACGTGCCGGCCAACATCATCAGGTCACGTGACATTGACATATTGATACGTGTCTGCGAGGCCGAGCCACGACTCGCACAGTCCGTGACCAGTTGAGCATACGCGGCCAACTTTCCGTCTTTATGAGAGGTGTATCCGTGACGGTGTTGATTCACCGGGTTTTGTGAGACAGAATCGCTTGATCTGCAGTTCGAAGAACAGTCTCGTCGACGCAGACAAGATGGGATGTGAGTAAATTCATCTTAATTGCGGATATTAGAATCGCAAATTGGTCCTCACCCGGGAGAACGTTTTGCACGCATTAACCTCTCGGCGTGCGTGTGCATGCAACATATTGCATTTCGCGACGCGAATTTATTTTGCGCACAAATGTTTACCGCGTGCCCACGTTGCTGACAGATGCGCTAAGCCGTCTCTTTCTTTTTTCTGCTTTCAGTCAAGTTTCTCGAAGTGATAAAACCGTTTTGCAGTATACTGCCGGAAATAGCGAAGCCGCAGCGAAAGGTAAGCCGCACACGTCGTTCTATTTCTGCCATTGTCTCTTATATTTACAGTTTCATATACCGTTTTTCCTACATTCCTTCGATTACTCCGAAACGAGTGCGTAAATCCGAAGGAACAGACGGTCAAATGACTTCTTGTCATTTATATCTGTGATATGCAAAATGTGTTTTTTTTTTTGTTTTAAGATAAACAGTATTTTCTCTGCATGAGTATACTCAATATTAATTTATTGCAATTGTTTTCTTTTTTTTTTTCACAGATCCAGTTCAGGGAAAAGGTATTATGGACAGCAATCACATTATTTATCTTCTTAGTATGTTGCCAGGTAAGAATAGACATAATTGTTCAAAATAAAAAAAAAAAATAATTTCTATGCTCACAGGAAAATTTAAGTTGAATTTAAATATGTTTTTGCTTTTTACAGATCCCATTGTTTGGTATCATGTCTTCGGACAGTGCGGATCCTTTTTACTGGATCCGTGTGATACTTGCGTCAAATAGAGGAACACTGATGGAATTGGGTATCTCGCCAATTGTCACTTCTGGTCTCATTATGCAGCTGTTACATGGTGCAAAAATTATAGAAGTTGGTGACACGCCAAAAGACAGAGCGTTATTCAATGGAGCGCAGAAATGTAAGTGCATCAAATTTATATAACAGAAACGAATGCTGCAATGTAATTTTGCTAAAATGATATAAATAACACATGTGTTTTCTCTGTTAAACAGTATTTGGCATGGTCATAACTGTTGGACAAGCTATTGTTTACGTAATGACGGGAATGTATGGAGATCCGACTGAAATTGGAGCTGGTGTTTGTCTTCTGATCATCATTCAGTTGTTTGTTGCTGGGCTTATTGTATTGCTATTGGACGAGCTGCTTCAGAAAGGATATGGATTGGGAAGCGGAATATCTCTCTTCATCGCTACCAACATTTGCGAGACCATTGTCTGGAAGGCATTTTCTCCAGCTACAGTCAACACTGGTATGGTCTTTTCATTGTCGCAAGAAAATTCAGAAATATTTTTCTTGATATATTCAAACTTTTACATTATACATTATAACATTAAATAAATGTGTATTTTCTATGCTCTCTTAATAGGTCGTGGCACAGAATTTGAAGGAGCCGTAATCGCTCTATTTCATTTATTGGCTACTAGACAGGACAAAGTCAGAGCTCTCCGAGAAGCATTTTACAGACAGAATCTTCCAAATCTGATGAATCTTCTCGCTACCATTCTCGTGTTTGCTATCGTTATTTACTTCCAGGTAAATTATAAGCGTTTTTTGCGTAATGCAGATCTTTGAATAGAAAAAGTCGAATAGATGATCGAAGTGAATGCCAGGAGCTAATTTAGAATCTTACTCTTATCTTCCATTTATTTATACGTTTTGACGTTGTTTTCACTAAAAAACATTTTTATTTTAAGGGCTTCCGTGTGGATCTTCCAATCAAGTCCGCCAGATATCGTGGCCAGTACAGCAGCTATCCGATTAAATTGTTTTACACCAGCAATATTCCGATTATCCTCCAGTCGGCTTTGGTATCGAACTTGTACGTCATCTCCCAGATGTTGGCCGTTAAATTCCAAGGAAATCTCATAGTGAATCTGCTGGGCGTTTGGTCAGACGTCGGCGGCGGCGGTCCTGCCAGATCGTATCCGGTTGGTGGACTGTGTTATTATTTATCACCTCCAGAATCGGTCGGCCACATCGTTCAAGACCCTGTCCATGCTGTGCTTTACATTCTCTTCATGCTCGGCTCATGCGCTTTCTTCTCCAAGACGTGGATCGAGGTTTCCGGAAGCTCTGCAAAGGATGTTAGTGGTTTATCCAGATGATAGTATTTAATATCATTGGAATGTAAAACTTCATGATATATGAACTTGTTGCAGGTTGCTAAACAACTGAGGGAACAGCAGATGGTGATGCGAGGCCACAGAGACAATTCCATGATTCGCGAACTGAATCGATACATTCCGACCGCTGCGGCGTTCGGCGGGTTGTGCATCGGAGCGTTGTCCGTGCTGGCGGACTTTTTGGGCGCGATCGGTTCCGGAACCGGTATCTTACTTGCTGTCACAATCATATATCAGTACTTCGAGATCTTCGTCAAGGAGCAAAGTGAAATGGGTGGCATGAGCACGTTACTTTTCTAAACCTAATCAATCTATAGACTTGAAAAGTGAACTTTTTTAATTATAAAGAACTGAGTAATAATTTATTAAAAAATATATGTAAAATAGGTTGGATTGGTAGCTGCGTGTGTCTGAAGCTCGCAGAACAATAAGAAAACACACGACCAGCGCCAATTGAAAGTTTCCTGTTTATTACATACATAAAAAATCGCATATTTAACTTACTGGATATGTTGTCAAATTCTCTGCTCAAGAAACGTTGTTGGTGAGACTTTCCAAAATAGTTTATGTAAAGCTTTGTATGTATTATTTCTCTCTCTTTTTTTTTAAATACAAAGAAACTACATTAACGTATGTAATCATTGACGCGACGCACTTTCATACTCGGAAACTATATTTTTTTTTACGTCAACTTTTGAAATTCTTGTTCTTATGTTGCGGAAGAGAGGAGAGAGATAGGAATGTATACTCTTTACTTTTACATCAAACAAATGATTCTACGCTACGTCAGTGTATGTATATTATACCACTGTAAAACAAAGACATGATACATTGACTTGGCGTGAAGAGAGAACTCGGACATAATATACAAAATGCTCGCGATTGAAGACGCCGCGCTCGCATGAGATGTAATATCTCGTACAACGAGAGCGTACACGTGTACATAGTAAGAAAGTAAACTAAATATTTTCAGCATTTTGTACTAGCGTTACGGAGCTCTAGCGGCATGTTAAAGAAACAGAGCCGCGCGAGAACTCAAAAAAAATATATATATACACACACACATTTATATATATAGCGTGCGAGTGAAGCCGTGACGTTTACATTAAAATTACAACTAATGTTGCATACAATAGTCATTTCAGTCAGGACGAGACACCCACCTAGGGTATAATTCCTGCAACAAATCCGAATAGAGTTCGTTCATCTTAGGTATCGCGTTCATTCCTATATTGATAATATAATATATACGAAAAAAAATTAATTAATTAATTTGTTTCTTACGTATGTATTTAGGAAAGAGAATTTGCTTTTATATATAAAAAAAAAACGTGTCCTTTTTTTCGTCTTCCTGGTTTCACTTCTTCCCCGATTTCATTTGTGTTTCTCACGCGTAATCTCATCTCGATTCGACTTGAGCGATAAATCTGTCCAAGAGGGAGTTCGGAGTTTTGCGATAAATGGGAGGGAGAAAAAAAGTTGCTTTCATTCCGAGACGATCGGATTATATCACACATTTGAAAGAATTCATGCGTTATATATATACATATATATACATATATAATATATATATATATATATCTTGCATAAAACAAAACATAATTGTACAAGAACGGAGAAAAACTCTAGTAAAAGATTACTTCCTATTTTATACACCGTGTGATTGTCATTTTCTACTTTATATGTAGGGGATTGTTATAAGATTAATATATATGAAGTATAACTATTGTTATATAGAGTATCGATGTAACAAAAAAAAAAAAACCATTAAATGTGTCCAAATGTGTACTTACTGTTAATGGTGTTCAATACATGAGATCTGTGGAAATATTTTATAAATTTTAATATATCACATATAATATCTCTCTCTCCCGAGAAACACATGTAAAATCTTTAAGCGTTTTTTTTTTTTTTAATGATTGTTCCGAATGATTTTTGTTTCGAGATGTTGATCGATGTACTCTCGAAAACAAATTTTTTCTCAGCTTGTTACGCGCAAAGAGAGATCGGGATTAATGAGGTACTCGATCTCCATCTCACGGTTGGATATTATTCGGGAATGCCCGAATATTATCTCGATCGTTTGTAATCTCTAAGAATCCAATTGCGATAACGCACATTGTAACGCAACATTTCTCTCTTCGGTTCTCCGAGAATTTGTCGATTTGTGGAATTCTAATAAAATACGATACGAGTATCCGAAATTCGATAATATCCGAATCCATTGGAAAAACACATTACACGAGTCGAATATTACTTGTGAGATAGAGATCGGGGTCAGCTCCAACACGGACATTATAAAAATTGTTCGGACGACGAGAGCGAGAGGCTAAACGCGTTTCAAGCAGCGAAGTGAAAGACGATCGCTCCCTTGTTGTCCGCTCGCGAAGCGGCGGTTAAGCACTTTCGAGCTCGCGCATTGTTTAAATATTTTGATTACGACCACGCAGCACAACGCACGTTAGTTGTGTCGTCCAGCTGTGAGATTCCCGCATGAGTTTTGCTCGACATCGAGTTTTACTCTCGGGAGCGCGATCGTCTCTCGAGAGGCGAGCGCACGATCTCATTATCGGCGTCTCACCGAATTAATATATTACCGCCGAGCGGCTGGCGAGCCAAGCGTTAGAATTTCGGGCCCGAATGAAAAAAAGAGATAAAGAGAGAGACGAGAAGACATGAGATGAATCTTGTGATAAGTGGGAAAACGCGCCTTTTCACCGTGGATTCAACGACGGCCGTTATCGACAACGTCGATCTCGCACCGCGGTAGTTCCGTCTTGCCGCGCGTTTGAATAATTAATTTCCCCCGCGTGTGCGTCGCGGCGTGTCTCACCACTTCGAGAAATCACAAACGACGTTATCTCGTACTTAAGAAAGTCGGGACAACGGCCCGATAGGTTTTCAAATTGCAAAATTGCAAGTCGCTCTGCATCCCAAACCCTTTTCTATTCTTTATACTGGATCGATTTGTTTCTTCATGCGTCATTCGTCTTCGGCGCAAGAAGAGGTAGTCACGTACCGCGGCAGTGCGCGATATATTCCCCGGTATGAAAGGCGCGGATATTAAAATAATCTCGCTCTGTGCGTTTCCGGGTGCATTGTCTTCGCTTTCATGCACTTAATGATGTTCTTTAGTCATATTTCGCTTTTTCAGGAAGCATCTAGCAACCGTCGCGTATTTCATACGAACCGACGTCGTCGCAAAACTAGAAGGTGTACTATTTCGCGAAGTAAGATCTTCGGCGATCGGTATACGAAGGAAGAGAGGAGAGAGAAAAATATCTCGTATACGCGCGATCGATTAGTCATCATCGGGCAACGGTAGCGTTCCGATATATCAGCGAGAGATATCAATCTCTCGGAGAGGAAATATATCATATTCCGCGAGAGGAAGCGCAAGAAGAGAAACGCGCGTCCGTGTGTACGTACGTCGGAATATAAATGCGTGAATGATATTCCGTTCGCTAGAAATTGTTATGCTAAGCGGATGAGAACGAACGGACGTCGGCATCGATCGATATACGGTCTCGATAAAATAAGAAAGACGCCGGTCGGTGCGTGGAGGACAACGAAGAAGAAGTGGAAGAACGACGACGTGGCGGAGAAGCGGGAGGAGAACGTAAGACGACGGTGATGACGACGAGGGAGAAGAATCGCGGCGCGGTTTTAGATCCGGTGATATAAGGTGGCACGATATATATATAAAGCCGCTCGTCCGTTGTCTCTACGCCCGTGTGGCCAGGCATACATAATCGGGTAACCGTTTACGTGACACGAGTCGGGCCCGAACCAATCGCGACGACACCGCGACGACGACGCGCTGTGACTTTGAGAAAAACACGCATTATTTCGATAGATGCGACCGGCTTATATAAAGACAGAATGGACCTCCCGTGCGTTTTAGTTGGCCGAAAACCCTTATAGGTGTTCCAGCGCGACGGGAACCGGCAGGAACCTCTTTTTCCCTCTTTTTCCATATCTCAACGAGCCTCTTTCCACCTGCCCGAGAGAAGAAGAGACTCCCTCTTTTCTCCCCCTTCGTTATGTGTTAAAGTCTTGCCGTCTTTCTCGTCCTTTTTTCTCTTCCCTTCTTTTCTTATCTGTTTCACCGCGTTCTCTCGTTCTCGCATACCCTCCGGGGGCCGTTCTCCAGGCCGCGTTCTCCAGTCTTCTACGCGTCCGGTCCCCTATCCCTCCGGCTGTAGGTCTTGCATACGCATTCGCCGACGCACACGCACGTGTGCGCTTACATACTAACTAACTAACTATAAATCGCGCATCCATCGCGCGTCTCGCTCCTCTCTCTCTCTCTCTTTCTCCCAGCTTCTTCTCTTCTTCTCGCCACCCGTGTTCTCGTCCTTGTCCTCGTACTGTCCCTTCGCGTCAGAAGTCCTCCTAGCCCTTTTTTGTAAGACCCGCTCCCGCGTCGCGTCTTCTACCTTGCCGATAGCTTCTTCGACTCTCCTCCTTCTTTTCCCTTCTTTTTTTAACCCCCTCGTCTTCTCTCCGTTTGCCTCTCATCGTCGTTTCTGGCCGTTTTGTTTTACACGCGCTCCCGTTTATCTCTCTCTCGCGCGCGCGCGCGCGCGAGAAGATTGCGCGATTCCTGCGGTGTTCGCTACGTGCGAGGCGACGCGGAGAATTCGCGTTTACTTCCACCTGCCTCGGGGTAAGAGTCGGGAAAGAGACACCGAGAGAGCCGGGACGCAACACCGGGAGAAGAGAATGACGATGTTCGGATGGTACGTCGGAGTCGCAGCCACCCTGCTGGCCGTCCTCGTCTACCTGGCCTATTTCTTCAAATTCAATTGGGTCAAGGTGAGTGTATGCACGACGGCTCACGCTCGTCCCGTTTTGCAAACTCGAGGAAAAAAGTGTCCTCTCCTCGTTTCGCTCCATTGCTTGTCGTGTTACGTATAAATTTACAATCGTGGGTCGATTGATCGAAGTCTGTTTGATCTCGCGTTGATTTTAACCAAGTTTTGCGACGAATTTTTTTTCAATAATCAGAACACAAGTTTCGAACGAAGTTTGAAAATTTGCTCACTTTTCCTTGGCATTTTCTCTTTACACGATGTTGCGATAAATCAGCCGGTTCAATTTCTGTTGTTGAAGGATCTGAGAAAGGACAGTAAGAAGCAGAAAGTCAGCGGTATTTACATGACGTCGAAAAATCGAAAAATCGGTAAAGTACCACCGGTCTATCCGAACGGTTGGTTCGCCCTGCTTGAGAGTTCGCAGTTGAACAAGGGTGAGGTGAGGCACGTGTCCGCTCTCGGTGAAAATTTCGCGGTGTTCAGGTACGTCAACGCGCAATCACGATTCTCTATCTGTTTCACATGACTTTTTATAAACGTGATACGATGTCGAAGCGATCTCGAAAGACGAAAAACGCGCTCAGCAATACTTATGTTTTCACATAACGTTTTATCAATTTCTTTAAGAACCGAAAAAGGCGTTGTCAACATTTTAGACGCGTACTGCCCCCACCTGGGTGCGAATATGGCTGAAGGCGGACGGGTCAAGGGAGATTGTCTGGAATGTCCCTTTCATAGCTGGACTTTTCGCGGCAAGGACGGTTTCTGCGAAAACATACCCTACGCCGAAAAGGGTACTTCGAACATTTATAAGATTCTACATACATTGATTTGCAACAAACCCTTTTGCGTCCGAAAATAGGCCGCGAGATGTGTCTGGACCGAGTGTCCGTGCATGTTTTTGCACCCTGAAACTACATTCCCACGTCGAGATATCTGTTTGTGCATTTTAATAAACTCCGCTGATCACGACGCAAATATTTGCGCATGAACGCTTCTCGCGAATTACGGTGCGATACATATCGCATGTGTTGACACAGTTTTTTGCAGTGATCTTTTAAACATCTTAAAAATTCGCGATAAACAGTTGAGTTAAATTTACATGTGAATAGTGCAAAAATCGATCCTCTTCTGATCCGATGAGAATGAAGAAGCAAAATAAAATTATCGAAACCGAGAAAACATTCTTTTCGCGATTTTTATTGCTCACGCTCGGAATCAAAAGGGTTAATAATAAGTAAAAAAAAAAAAAGAAAGAGAGAGAGAGAGTAAATTTTTTTCTAGCGAAGAAGATCATAAAGTTCTTTGTAAAATAAAACAAAAGAATAAAATTTACAAATTTGAAACAAAAGAAATGGAAATCGGTGTGTGAAAATGCAGAAAATCTGATAGAAAAAATAAAATGTTCTATATTTTTCTTTTTTTTTTTTTTTTTTTTTTTGTCGCGATCGCACAGTGCCGCACATTGCGCGAGCGAAAGCGTGGAAGTGCTGCGAGGTGAATCATCTCATCTTCGTCTGGTACCATGCTGAATCCGCGGAGCCCGATTGGCAACCCCAACCGCACACGCACCTTTCCAACGGAGCATGGCGTTTCCAAGGCCGTAATGAGTTTCTCATTAGCTGCCATATACAGGTTTGTCATCCATCTCGATCTTGTCTAGCAAAACCACTTTGTCACGCTTCCGGTGCCATTATTCACGTAAACTAGAATCGCGAATATCGATTCATCTGTACCGCGAGAGACTTCGATTTCTTCTCTCGGAGTATGTTGGTTTTAAAAAGTTTTCATTATTTAATAAAAAAATTAATTAAATTGATAAGTCGCCAGAGATATAATTAAGAGAACTAATAAATACACCCACAATAAAAGTCGTGCTACACATTGTTGTTTTATTACAGGACATTGCCGAGAACGGAGCCGATTTCGCGCATCTCGGCGCTGTGCATGGTCCAACCATCTTTCTGTCCAATTACGTGCCGTGGCTGGCGCGACACTCGTGGACCAACGCGATTTGGCGACCGCACTGCTCTTATTCCAACGACTTAGACGCGGAAGCAAAAGTGGAGACAACTGCGGAAGTGTGCGTCAAAGTGAACGACAGCGCGTCGATGCAACCGATCGCGAACGGGAATAATAATAATAATCATCATCATCATAATCATCTTTCTTCGCTCACCGCGGAGAACGACAGCAACACAAGGAAAGAGAAGCACAAAGCCGGCTTGCAGATGCACCACAGCCTCGTCTTGCTGGATCGCTTCACCGTGCTGGAATTGGACGTGCGCGTCGAGCAAATCGGTCCGGGTTACGTCGAGCTGCAGATCTCGACGTTCTTCGGACCGATGTACATTTTGCAGACGGTCACACCGCTCGAGCCGCTGCTGCAGCGGGTCACCCATTTGATCTATGCGCCGCCGCTGCTCGCGCCCTTCACGAACCTAGTCTTCCTGGGTGAATGTCTGCAATTCGAGCGCGACGTCGCGATCTGGAACCACAAACAGTTCGAACGACAGCCCATCCTGGTGCGCGAGGATCGCGCCATCCTCGCGTACCGGCGCTGGTACTCTCAGTTCTATTCCGCTAACAGTCCAACTTATCAAACGGCTATGAAAACTCTACAATGGTAGAGCGATGCAACAAGTGGTTTTATTTTTTTTTTATTTTAATCGTTTCGAGTCGCGTTTCGCAATATATATCACATATTGCTGAAATTCAAATCGAGATGACGTCCGCATTTCGACGATGTGCACATCTACACGAAAATCACTTTTTACGATTGCTTGTGACTGTGCATTTCGGAGAAGATAATTATCATGAGCTCTTTTACATGTAATTGTCTTTAAGTAATTGTCTTTAAGATAGTTTACGTATAATGTTTAGTTTTTCTTTGAAAATATATACAATACTTTATTTCATGTGTGTATGTTAATTAGAATTTATACGAGTAATATTGATTACATTTTTTTTCTATATTTGAGATATAATTTTATTATTTCGCTCTTTCTTTCGTTCACTTATCTCTAATGTACATATAAGTTGCAAAAAATAGAGACGATAACAAGATTAGAAACGATTAATTTTTAATATTACTACACCAGATATCGACCCGTCAAGTTATCTCCCATTTCTTATTTTCTTTCCTTTCATTTTCTTGATTTAAATACAATTATATTTACACACAAAGTATTTTTAATATCTAAATTGTTGTACGTATTTAATATTTAGAAGAATAAATTATTCTAAAGTGATGCATTCTTCTCTGTAATTTACGATTTTATTTATTATAATTAATATTGTACACATGTAAATTTTCTTTTACTCGTCCTTTGTTCTCTCTCTCTCTCTCTCTCTCTCTTTCGCTTATTTTATATAATTGCTTAGTACTTTTTCACGTAATTGCGTAATATTAACTGCGTGATATCACATAATTTGTTGTATTTCCGAGAATTTGATAAATACCTGCTGTGTCACGATCAAGAGAAATCTTACAGCTAATTGCAATATCATTCGTTATATATACGTAACATTATTATCTCAGATTACGAAAGACATAATAAATATTACGTAAAATTGGAACCAGATTTAAAAAAATTAATGTTGCGTAAATTCCAACGATAATAATTGCGTGTTATTGGATAATCGCGCAGCATGTAAAAATATTAAAATGATTATTAAGTAATTTGATAAAATAAAAATAAAAAAATAAAACGCAAACTCAATATATAATTCTTTTTCCAAAAAAATTACAAACGTTTGATAGTAGCCCATAATCCACTAGCTGGTGTGGTCATAACAGTACCAGGCAGCATTTTCAATGGTAGCTGAGTTTTCGGCGACAGTTCCAACGTGTATCTTCTCACGAATGTCGCTAAAAAAACTTTCATCTGCAGGATCCCCATTCTCATGCCCACGCACATTCTCGGACCCTTACCGAACGGCAAGAAGGCGTACTTGTCGATCTCTGTTTTTTTGTCGGCGGCAAATCTGTCTGGATCGAACGTTTCCACATCGAGCCAGTATTTCGAGTCCATGTGTATTGCGTGTGCAGGTATTATTACCATCATACCGGGTTGCAAGCGACAGCACAATCCGTCGGAGCCTTTCAACTCGATCTCCTTGGTACAAAACTTCGGCATAACGGCCAGCACGGTGTACAGCCTCTGCGACTCGCTGATCACTTGGTCCATGTACGTCATTTTCTCCAGAGACTCGTACGTCATTCGGCCGTCGTGCTTGGCGAGCACGGATTCCACTTCTTCGCGAAGTTTCTGCAGAACTTGCGGATGTCGGGCCAGTTGATAACCGATGAAGCTCAGCGTGATACTGGTCGTCTCGTATCCGTCTAGAAAAAAACTGAGAGTGTCGGCAGCAAGAGCCCGTTCGTCGTAGACCCCGTCCTCGTTCTTGTCGAGATCCATCATCAACTGAAAGAAGTCGTTTCTTTTTGGGTTCTCCTGCTGTCTATGACGCAGAATCTCTTTCACGGTGCTTCGAATAAAACGGTCCACCTCTTTGGGCAGAAACGAAATCCGGAAAATCTTAGTGAGTTTGGGCAGCAAGAAGGTGAGGTTTACCATAATTCTGTTGAGCAAACTCGAGTCGAATATCAAGTTGCCTATTGTTTGAAAAGAAGTCTGAGATTGCGCTTTGTCGTGTTTGAAACAAAAACCCTTCACGCCGAAAGCGCCGTTCGCCACGAACTCGCCGGTGTACTTCGAGAACAGATCTTTCAGCTCGTATTCCGACACGCCGCTGTTCAGACACCGATCCAGATAGTCCTCGAACTCGTCGCACACCTGCTCGATGCAACCGAACAGCAATTTCATTCGCATGCTGGAGAACGCGCGAGCCAAGCGCTTCCTGGACGCGTTCCACATCTCGCCGTTCGAGAAGAAAGGGTTTAGCGAGAGCAACGGATCCAGATGAGGATCGAGCAAAAACATATTGTCGGAGAAATTCGAAAAATTTGTTTGCATCACCGTTTTTACCAGTTCCGGGTCACGCACCACCAACGAGGGCGTCATTTTGTTGTAAAATCCGACCATGCTGCAATTCGGCTGACTATTGTAGATGTGCTGGATGAAGTCGGAGATATTCATTCTCATGGATATCATCGGCCACATGTGTCCGAAACCGGGAAAGATACCCTTCGGGCAGGGAATGCCTTGATCGCGCCAATAACTGTATCTTTTGGTTAAATAAAAATAGATCGCCGCGATTACCGCGAAAATCGAAGAGAGAAGTACGATATCCATGTCTGTGTATCGCAGATAAAACTGAATGCAAACCGTCACGAACCAACAACAGTTTAATCTCAATTGCTGGTGACGTTGATGAAGTAATGGAACAAGTTATCTTTGAATAAGCGCTGTGTATGTGATTATCAAAACAGACTCGATAAAACAATGATAATACAGACTTTCTCAGCACTTCAACTACGCAATAAATGTATAAAACATAATATAACTAACAACAGTCTATTGCGTGCGCTGTCTGATTTTACGTTGGTCTAATTGATTAGGTAATTTCCTCGTGCAAACGACAATGCTATTTGCGAGTGTCATCAGCTGAATATCACGGTGACTGACTGAATCTACATCTGAATAATAACACGTTATGCAAGTGACCTATTGACATTTACATCGCGCTGATTTACCCGAATTATTATTTTTATTAAGTATTCGGAATTTCCATTTGATTCTTTTTTTCTCGATTAGGTCAAAGAATTATCATATCGAAAAATCAGCGAATTAACAACCATTATTTTCGCGTAATCAATGTCATCTTGACAGTTACAGCCAATGTCTCTTGTCGATCATAAACGTGTCGGTTAAGCTAAATTTTTAGGTATAAAACATTCACTCTTACTTCCGATATTCTTTACTTTGTTTTATTGTATTATAATTATTGTTTTTGGATCTTTATACGACACCGTATTTTTTATGTTAACATCTTTATATATTTTATTTTTATAAATGTATTTATTTATTTGATTTGTTTTCAATTAAACTTATTAATGTTGTTTTTATTAGTTGCTTGGAGTTATATTTATCAAAATCTTTTTGACAACTGCTAACATTCTTTTCAGAATTAAAGTTAGTCTGATCGTAGGAGTGCAGAATTTTGATAAGCTTCGAATGTCCACACACAATCTAAGGAATACGCACTTGACTGTGCTTTTCTGTGTTTAATCGTGACGCCTATCAGTTTGCGGTCAGAAAAACGTGGCTGAAAATGTTTTGCAAGGTGTTCTAAATACTATCTAAATTTCTTGTTTAAAAATATGACAATAAAAGAACGTGTATCACACAATAAAACAAATTTTTTCTCACTAAAAATCTTAGTACATTCTTTATTATACCAAACCTAAAATTTACAAACAAATAATATCTTAAATTCTTGTTTAGGAAGCGAAACAGATATACTTTAGAGATGGTAAAATCGTCTTTATATCACAAAAAAACTATGTACATATGTTTGAACTAAAATAATGCAATTATTCTTCTATCGCGTCGTAAACCTTTTATTATTACAATTTTTGAATGTTGACCCACAGACCGCCTTTCGGTGTTACCAAAATGGTTCCGGCGACCATTTTCACAGGTTGCTGTGTCTTCGGGGAGAGTTCCAGGGTATACTTTTGCAGAAGCGCAGCAAGACCAGCTTTTACTATCAGCAGAGCCATTCGCATCCCCGGGCACATCCGTGGACCTTCGCCGAATGGTAGAAAAGCGAATTTCTCAATGGAATTTTTCTTATCCGGAATGTATCTTTCGGGATCAAACTCCTCAGAGTTCTCCCAGTACCGTGGATCTTCATGCAGGCCTTGAACGGATATCATAACTTGCATTCCAGGTTCAACGCAACAGACGAGTCCATCGGATCCTTTTAATTCAATTTCTTTCGTGCAAACTTTGGCCATGAATCCTGCCACGTGTACGAACCTTTGCGACTCGTTCAGCACCTGATCCATGTACGTCATCTCTTTTAAGGCTTCATATGTTATCACACCGTCATACTTGTCAAGTACAGTTGTCACCTCTTCGCGCAATTTCTTCTGTACTTCCGGATGCCTGGCGATGTTATAGCAAGCAAAGCTCAGAACCGTGCTGGTAGTCTCGTAACCGTCAACGATAAAAGAGAGCGCCTGAGCCGCGAGAACCTCCGTATCAAATTTATCACCTTCGATCTTCTCTAGTTCTACCATTAAGTAAAGAAAATCGTTCCTAGGTATTCCATCCGCTCTTCGTTGTTCTAGAAGCTCGGCGACCAATGTTCTAAGAAAACGATCGATGTACTTCGGTATAAAAGGCATTTTCAAGAATTTGTTTAACGACGGAATAAAGAATAATAAAAAAAACATAATATTTGTCCGCAGACTTGGTTCCATAATGGCCGAACCGATTTTTCGAAACGACTTGTCTGCATTCTTGTCGTCGAAACAATATCCGTCTACACCAAAACCAGCGGCGGCGACTACTTGCGCGGTGTATCTGGAGCACAAATCCTTTAGTTCTATTTCCACCTTTCCCGTTTTGCTCAGTTTTTCATCCAAAAAGTTATCCAGCTTATTACACACCGACTTGATGCTCTCAAGCAAGAGTTTTAGTCGGGTGGTGGAGAAAGCGTAGGTCAATTTTTTTCTTCCGCTTAACCATTTCTCGCCGGTATTGACGAATGGATTGTGCGCCCTGAGCGGATCCACCTCTGGATCGACTTGAAAAGGATTCTCGTTGAAGTTCGCAAAGTTAGTTTGCAGCACCGTTTTGACTAGCTCTGGTTCGAGAACCAGCAACGTCGGTGTTACAAAGTTGTAAAATCCGACCATGCTACGATCTTTGTTGTTTTGGTACAGTTTGCGCAAATACTCCGTAAAAGGCATTTTCATGGAAATCACTGACAACATGTGACCTAGTCCCGGCAGAGCTCCATCGGGACAAGGAATTCCGCGACTTTGCCAGTACTTGTAATTTTTAGTCAGATAATAATACAGAGCAATGAGAGCACCGAACATCAAAGCAATTACCGTTGCAGACATCTTTGCTCTCTCAAGTGACAAATAACACTGAAGAGGATAAGGTGATGTCGACTTGACGCTCAAGTTGTCGAGAGCATGAGATAGCAAAACGCGTATGCGATAATTTGCGATATAACGGCAAATATCGAGTAAAGTGTGAAGATAAATAAGAATAAAAAATGCATTGGCACGCGCGCGCTTGAAAAGTGCAAAGGTGGCATTATGTGTGTTCTATGTGATAATATTAAAATAGCGTGGTAATAATAATTGTACAAATTAAATTAATTTTTGTACATAAATAAGAAATCAAATAATTAAGGAAACAATAAACACTTAAATTAATATGTATTAAATACAAAAATGCATAGATAAGATTTGTTTATAAGTTTTATATGTATGTAAATTTATTTCTTTATTATAGAATATTTGAGTCTGGACTTTTAAAAAAGATCAGTTATTTGTCTGCAATCATGAAGAGATTATGTGCCATCAGCTCAAATCTACCTCAAGATTGATTGAAATGATATTCTTACTAAAGCTAGCAAACGTGGTCTGCAACATCAGTTCGTTTTTACAAGCTCTCGCTTCAGAATTATCACTGACAATGTGGAGAATTAAATCATGCTGCAAACATGCATAAAAATTCTCAGGCAAATTATCGAAAAAAAGACTTATTCCGGGTAAAGCTCCTCCCAAAAAAATAGAATTCTATTGTTGCCAGTATTTGTAAGTTTTGGACAGATAAAAGTAGAAATCTGTGCATATAGCACTGGATATTAAAAATTTAAACATAATACTTATCTTGATGTTTTTGTGGACTTGAAAACAAGCAAGATAGATTTAACCTTGCACGTTTATCAGTCGCGTCCGAGCGTGAGATGGCGGAATTAAATCATACGACAGTATCAGTCAGTTATGAAGAAACAAGAAAATATTATGTAATATACAATAAACAGCATTTACATGTATACATATATATTTATATATGTTTAATAACAATCAGTATGTTGTTGTGTATTATAATTGTAAGTTTATTCCACTAAATAAAAAAATATATTTTTTCAAACTATTCAACTTTTATGCATTTGTATAAATTTTTTTTTACACTTAAAAATGATAGAATTACTTTTATTCACGACCGATGATACTTTGTATCAATTTTGGACCGGTCAATATAGCTAGATCTGTCTGTGGCAAGCAAAACATGTCATGTTCGTATTTCTGATCACTGCGCTGATTCTCTATCTTTATTTAACGATTAAAATACTAGCAGAATCTTGTCCAGATGGGATGGTGCTTGGAGTCGGACATTTCTGTAAATTTTTGACCTTAAAGACTTTACCTTGTCCGCATGTAGTCGTAAAGCAAGGAGACAGAATTTTGATACATTTTGAGTGTCTAACGCTTACACACGATACGCTCTAAACTGTACAACTTGATCTCCAATCAAAAAAATTACCGCAAAACGGACCGGAAAAACATTGCTACGAAAATTTAGTCAAGTGTCAATCTTAAAATCTACTCTACCTTTTAGAATATAACAGTGATAACAAAATGAATATAAACTATATACTTTAGAAATGACAATCTTTTTTTTCTTACAAAGAAGCCATGTACATATTTTTAAACACTGCACTGAAATTTTACTGAATCAAGAACTTTTATAGTTTACGAATATTGACCCACAGACCGCCTATCGGTGTTACCAGGATGGTTCCGGCGATGATTTTCAAGGGAAGCTGCGTCTTTGAGGAAAGTTCCAAGGTATATTTTCGCAGAAGCGCAGCAAGACCCGCTTTTATTTGCAGCAGAGCCATTCGCATCCCCGGGCACATCCGTGGACCTTCGCCAAATGGTAGAAAAGCAAATCTCTCAATGGAATTTTTCTTCTCCGGGCTGAATCTTTCGGGATCAAACTTCTCAGAGTTCTCCCAGTACCGTGGATCTTCATGCAGGCCTTGAACGGATATCATAACTTGCATTCCAGGTTTAACGCGACAAACAAGCCCATCGGATCCTTTCAATTCGATTTCCTTCGTGCAAACTTTGCTCAAGAATCCTGCTACGTGTAAGATCCTTTGCGACTCGTTCAGCACCTGATCCATGTACGTCATCTCTTTTAAGGCTTCATATGTTATCACACCGTCATACTTGTCAAGTACAGTTGTCACCTCTTCGCGCAATTTCTTCTGTACTTCCGGATGCCTGGCGATGTNNTAGCAAGCAAAGCTCAGAACCGAGCTGGTAGTCTCGTAACCGTCAACGATAAAAGAGAGCGTCTGAGCAGCGAGAATCTCCGAGTCAAATTTATCACCTTCGATTTTTTCCAGTTCTACCATCAAGTGAAGAAAATCGTTCCTGGGTATCCCGTCCGCTCTTCGTTGTTCTAGAAGCTCGGCGACCAATGTTCTAATAAAATGGTCAATGTGCTTCGGTACAAAAGGCATCTTTAACAATTTGTTCAACGACGGCATGAAGAATGTTAAAGTAAACACAATATTCGTTCGCAGATTCGGTTCCAAAATGGCTGAACCGATTTTTCGAAATGACTTGTCTGCGTTTTTATCGTCGAAGCAATATCCTTCTACACCAAAACCAGCACCGGCGACTACTTGCGCGGTGTATCTGGAGCACAAATCCTTCAGTTCTATTTCCACCTTTCCCGTTTTGCTCAGTTTTTCATTCAAAAAGTTATCAAGCGTAGAACAAACCTTCTTGACGCTTTCGAGCAAGAGTTTCAGTCGCACGTTGGAGAAAGCGTAGGTCAATTTTTTTCTTCCGCTTAACCATTTCTCGCCGATATTGACGAATGGATTGTGGGACAAAAGCGGATCGACTTCGGGATCGACGTGAATAGTGTTCTCGGAGAAGTTCGCGAAGTTAGTCTGCAGCACCGATTTTACTAGCTCTGGTTCGAGAACCAGCAACGTCGGTGTCGTGAAGTTGTAAAATCCAACCATGCTATGATCTTTGTTGTTGTTGTAGAGTTTGCGCAAGTACTCCGTAAAAGGTATTTTCATGGAAATCACCGACCATACATGACCCACAATTGGCAGAGCTCCATCGGGACAAGGAATTCCGCGACTCTGCCAATATCTGTAATTTCTAATCAGATAAAAATACAGAGCAATGAGAGCACCGAACACCGAAGCGATCACGGGTGCAGACATCTTCGCACTCTCAAGTAACAAATAACACTGAAGCGGATAAAATGATGTCACCTTGACTACGCATCAGCTGTCGAGAGCATGCAGATAGCAAAGCGCGCATGCGATAATTCTACGATGTAACGGCAAACACTGAGTAAATTGTGAAAAAAAAACGAATAAAAAATGTATTGACGTTTGAAAGTGCAAAGGTGACATTATGTGTGTTCCATGTGATAATATTAAAGTAGCGTGGTAACAATAACAATAATACAGATTAAATTAGTAATTGCACAGAAATGGAAACTTAAATAAGTAATTAAATAATTAATAAACAATTAAATTAATATGTATTAAATACACAAATGCATACGAAAAATTTATTTACATGCTTCATTTATGTATGCATTTATATATGTTTTTTTTTGCAGAATATCGTGGTACAGGGAATTTTAAAAAAGATCAGTCATATGTCGGCGGTAATTACGAATAGATTATATGCCACGAGCGCGAATCTATCTCTGCGTAAATTGCAATAATGTTCTTACTAAAGTTAGCAAAAGTGGTCTGCATCACCAGCTCGTTTTCACGAGCTCTCGTTTCAGAACAATCACCGACAATGTTGTGAAGATATAGACTCCAATTATGCTGTAACGTGCATAAAAATTCTCAGGCAGAACATCGAAAAAAAAACTTATTCCGGGTAAAGTTCTTCCCAAAAAATAGAATTCTATTGTTGCTAGTATTTGTAAATTTTGGGCAGATAGAAGTAGAAATCTGTGCATAGCACTAGATATTAAAGATATAAACATAATACACATCTTAATTTTTTTGAGGACTGTACACGAGCAAGATAGATTTAACCTTGTTCAATTTAACTTTGCTTTATCAGTAGCGTCCGAGCGTGAGATGGCAGAACTAACTTATATGACACTATCATTCAGTTACGAATAAACAAGAGAGTATTTATATATCACTAAATAAAAAACTATATTTATGAAAACTATATAAATTCTACATATGTATATATATATTTTGTTTTTTTACACTTAAAAATAAAACATTTGTTTTTATTCATTACCGATGATATCTTCTGTCAACTCTGGACCGGTCAATATAGCAGTCAATCGGCAATAATAACAATAATGTCGCAACAATAGTATGTAAAATTTATACATGTATATGTATTTTAATTTTTTCACACTTAAAAGTGAAAGATTCACTTTTTGGTGACGCTAATATTCGGGGCATTATCTTTTACCTTATATTGTTTTTAGAAAATTCAAAATTCTTTATCAAACGCAAACTTTATAGACACTTTAGCGCAATATATAGAATGTACAGATTGTGATCTCAAATATAGTAATAGCCAGCAATTGCACATTATTACTCCAATCGTACTATCTTACACGAGGCGTGAAAAATATGTCACTGTCAGGGCTAATAAACGCTCGTAATATACTGCGAATGCTCTAACGTGACATCACATAATAAATACTATATCCAAAAGATACTGTGTACATATAACATATTATGTAACACGTATAAAAAAAAATAGTAGATTATATAAAAACGCACATCTATTATTGTTATTAAAATAATATTTTGAAATACGCAGCACATTGTTTTTGATTTGCACCATATTGCAAAAATAAAATTACATAATATTAGTTGACTTTTTACCTATCTTGTTTGTTACATAATGTTAGTTGGACTGTGTGTGTAAACTCGAACACAATCGTATTATCACGACGCTACTCGTTTATAATTGGCTGGCGCTATTATCTCGTTGAGTTTGTCTCTCGAAAGAGGAAGATACGTACGTAACCACTACCAGTCATATCCTCTGTCATCTATGAACCGTTCAGTATAACTAGATTCGTGGCAGGCGAAAGAATGGCTGTCACGTATATATTTCTGATCGTCGTCGCGCTGATAGTTCTCTATCTCTACTTAACAAGAAATTACAAGTACTGGCAGAAACGCGGAATACCTTGTCCAGATGGGATCGTGCCCGGAGTAGGACATTTCTGGGACTTTTTGTCCCAGAAAATCAGCTTGTCCGAATGTTGTCGCAAGCTCTACAACGCCAATCAAGGTCACAGCATGGTGGGAATTTACAACTTCACGTCACCGATGCTGATGGTCCGCGATCCCAATCTGGTGAAAACGGTGCTGCAGACCAAGTTCACGAGTTTTCACGAGAACGCTCTTAAAATCGATCCTGAGTTGGATCCTCTTCTGGCAAACAATCCCTTTTTCACCTACGGCGACAAGTGGATGACCGGAAGAAAACGTTTGACTTACGCGTTTTCGAGCATGCGACTGAAAATCCTACTTGAGACCGTCAAACAGGTGTGCGAAAAGTTTGAAAATTTTCTGGACAGAAAGCTGAACAAAAGCGGAAAGGTGGAGATGGAGTTGAAAGATTTGTTTGCCAGATTCACCGCGCAAGTGGTGTCCAGTGCCGGTTTCGGTGTCGACGGAATGTGCTTCGACGATGAAAAGGAGCGCGAGTCTTTCTACGCGATTGGCAAATCCTTTCTCGAGCCGTCCGTCATGAACACTCTTGTCTTCACTTTGACGTTCTTCTTGCCCATATTTGGTAAGATTTTCAAAGTACGGTTTATACCGAAGAAAACCGATCGTTTCTTCAGATCGGTACTCACGGAAGTTATAGAGCAACGAAGAATCGACAGTACACCAAGAAATGATTTTCTTCAGCTGATGGTTGATTTGGAACGAACGGAAAATCAGAAGTTCGACATACAGATTTTAACGTCTCACGCGGTGTCGTTCTTTGTCGACGGCTACGAGACGTCTAGCAACGTTTTGAGCTTCGTCGGCTTTCAATTGGCCAGTCACCCGAAAGTGCAGAATAAATTGCGCGAGGAAGTGGTGTCCGTGCTCGAAAAATACGACGGAGTGATCACTTACGATACTTTAAAAGAGATGACGTATATGGATCAAGTTATCAGCGAGTCGCAGAGAACAATACCCGCACTAGGATTTATGACTAAGATTTGCACGGAAGAATGCGAACTGAAAGGATCTGACGGTCTTGTTTGCCGCGTGCAACCCGGAACGGAGATCCTGATACCCGTTCATGGTCTGCAGGAAGATCCTCGATACTGGGAAAATCCTCAAGTGTTCGATCCCGAGAGATTCAGCCCGGAAAACAAGCACAACATCGAGAAATTTGCTTTTCTTCCTTTTGGTGAAGGACCGCGAATCTGCGTGGGAATGAGAATGGCTCTGTTGCAGATAAAAGCATGTTTGGCCACATTACTGAGAAAATATAGTTTAGAACTATCCCCAAAAACGAGAGTTCCTTTGAAAATAAGTACATCGGGTTTCTTGACCGCGGCGGAAGGTGGTCTTTGGGCTTATATTCGGCCTCTTGAGGCATGAGTTCTGTTTCTTTCAAAGTTTTTATATTCATTGTAACTTTAATGTTTAAATAAAAATCTTTTTCTCTCTATTTTCTCTGCTTTTTTTTATTTTGAACCTATAATAAGTTTTATTATGAATTTTACATACATTTATAAATCTGTGTAATTTTCTACCGATATATTTTCATTTTTTATTGTAAGTGTTTAGTTCATTATCAATTCCGCATAACGAGATAATAGATTATAGCATGTGCAATGAATAAGTTTAATGAAAGAATTAGTTTTTATAAAACTTGTAAAAACACATTAAATCTGTTTTGAAAAATATGAAGAGATAATTGTTTGTGTAATCAGAAGTTATCTTACGAACGTATCTGTTTATAACAATTTTTTGTAGATTAGATATTATTACATCTTCATAACAAAGAGTTAAGACGAAAATACGACGCGCAATTCTGCAAGTAATCAATCATCAACCGCAACAGTGTGTTGCAACTTCACAATATGCTTCACAATATGATAAACAAAATAAGTGTAAGATAAGATACTAGAAAATAAGAACAACATATATGTTGTTTAATGTATAATAATAAATTTATTTACATAAAAGTTACTAACAATATATATAGGAAAATGGATTATAATTAAAAAAATGCACTTCACTTATTTTATTACATATATTTTTTTTATTGAATATACTTATCCGTATTTTATATACATATGTGATGCAATACTCTTTCTTTTCATGAAAACGTATGTGTAAACGTGTATAATTTTAATATACATGTATATTCTTATATATAAAACTTGTTTTCTCTCTACAAAGTTTGGTGTTTTTAAATGTAATAGATTATACACATAAAACTTATGGAGTAAGGCACTGCGGTGAAAACCAAAAAACAGTATACAATAAAGTCTGCACAATAATAATTAATTATCAAGCGATATACAATAATGAATGATAAATCAAATTGTTTAACCTGCGACGTAATCTCTGCCCGAATGACAGTTAAAGTTTTTAAACATAATCAATCAAAGATTGAGAAACGCACATTGTACGTATATGTATATCTAACATGTGATATCTCGAATCTCTCTATCATTCTCATCAAACTGACGATTGATTTGTAGTTCGCCGATTTTATGAAATCTTACTTCCTCTCAGTCTTGATCGAGTCGGTGATAAAGAGCGAATATTATGCATGCTTTTGGTGCGGGGTTTAACAATATAACAAAACGGATTTTCCATCGCGGTAAATCAAGAACAAAAAAAAAAAACTGGAAACACGGGTCGATAGCAACAGGCAACTTGCTTCATCAGGTGCGGGCTTTTAACGGTAACTCAACAACAAATGCAACTTTGCACAACAATAACCACGGGAAGTAACAAAAGATCGGATAACAACAACGATTACATATCGCCGGTCACAAAAATATTTCGAGATATTAATATATAATAGGGAATTTTTTCGTTTTTTTTTTTTTTTTTTTTTTTTTTTTTTTTTTTTTTTTAAATAGATATATAATGAAAATACACTTATTTTAATCAATAAACAAATATTATTTCTCCGGAAAGTTCCAGTTCTTTCTTAGCAAAATGGAGAATTATATAATATATTACATTATCGATAAGTCATGATAAAAATATATTTTTGATTAACTGTAAGTGCGATAAAAAGAACATCAATTTCGTGTTTGAAAAATCTGTATTTTGAATTTTTTTTATCTCGCGTACTATCTGTACAATAAAATACTGAAAGTGGAAAAACTCACTGTTAAATGAAATGTACAGATGTTTTTTTACATATAGACAAGAGGAAGAGTTAACAATATTAAAAAATATTCTTTTGTTTTTATAAGTGTCACGTGTCAAAGCTAATCTGAAAAAGTCTGGAAAAGATTTTATTACTGCTGATATTATTACTGCTGACGTGTGTTTTATTGGCAGAGACGTTTTTTGTTATACCTGTGTGTTTAACTAACAATTTAATGAGCACATTGAACAAAAGAGTGAATTTTTGACGTACGGAAGAGATGAGTACTCATTTATCACTCTCTTTGAGATTCTATTCAAAATAGCATATCAAAACTGTTTTTTCGAATGTCGTGAAGAATGTTCTTTCCACTTATACCACTAAATCCTACGTATACACACACACATATAAGCGTAAATATTATTAATTGCCCAATTGGAATTAATTTGATTAATAGCCCTGCCGTCGCATTGTTAACAATAATAAAGCGATCTGAAAGTGTATCGTTTTTTCTGTTAATAACATCTAAGTGATAAATATAGCCCGTCTAATCAAAGCGTGACCAACAACAAAATTTTGAATCTATTTTTTACAAACAAATTATTATAAACACAGATTTGCATCTAGTAATGGCTAGTCTAATGTTTTGACGTCATTGTTTCATGTCTTTTTTCCCTGAAAAATCCAGTACTGACATTTGCTTCGAAACCAACCGGCATAAATCCTAATAATCTTTTTAGCGTCTAAACATTCCTTGTAAACAAAAATAAAATTCTAATTCCTGGCTTTGAGAGGCAGTCCTAAAGATGCGTATTTGCCGAGTGATTCTCGGTTTACTAAAGAAAAGTCTATTCTTAAAACAAGTTGATAACACTGTGTACTCAAGAAAAGAGTTTATCGGAAAAAATGACATTTCTTTTATCTGTTTGGTCGAACAGATTATCAAATAGAAATTTGCTCGAACACGCTCTTATCAAACAGACTGTAGTAATAATAGGGATAATAGCAATAGTGAAGCATAATAATGGGGAACAATTAAACATGTGATAAAGCAAAACAAAAATGGCGATGATAACAAGTAACGAGCGCAGTAACATGATCCAGATAAAACGAATAACTTCAACTGATTTAGGTTCAACACGGAAAACACTTTAACGTGCGATGAGTTTTCAACAACTAATGACAGCAGCGAGTTCCGACAGTCGACATAAATCTCGAAGAACGTAATCTCATATACTATTCTCTGCGGTTATTTGAGACGAGCGGCGAAGAACGGGCGTTATTCGCGCGAAAATCTATTACACGAGTGTAATTAATTCCGAACGACGATACTTGGTAAAATTAATTAAGAGAATAATGTTATCTTATCTTTTTTTTTTTTTTTTAAATTTAGATTGAAATTCGGAAGGTGCTGATGTTTATCAACGCGGTGTACTCAACAGCGGAATGAACGAATGAATGTAACGATAATGATCTCTACAACACGAAGAAAGTATCAACAGTACAATCAACAAAGGATTAACAGAGGGTTGAAACTTAACTTTTTCGTCACAAATGAAAACGAAATTTCGTTAACGGGGAAAACGTGCGATGTAAAGGGAAACGAGGAGTTCGATCTGTGAAAATTGCGCGAACGGTGAAAAACTGAAATGTAACAATCATTCTTGCGCATAATAATCTTGTCAACAACGTGCCAAACAGAAATTCAACGTGAACAACGGGAAAATCTTGGAAACGTGCATCTCGATTTTCTGTCTCATACTTATCGAGAGTAACCAAAAAAATCATAAAATTTCTCATAACCAACAGAAACAGCATAACATTCAAATAGGCAACATTTTGGGGGAGGGAATGGGGGAGCATTCAAAAGCAGCATAATACGTTTGTGTTGTATAACCCGGAAATCTATTGTTACACGTAATCATCTCCTTTTCTCGAAATATACCTTGAACACCTTTCGTTCGAATTGTAGTTCGCGTTCCGGACAATCTTGACAACAATTGAAAATCCCGATCGTTTTTTGCTACAGGCAAAGTACAAATCATTCACGTGAAAAAAATTCTCGATGAAAAGTCGACATCACGCGGTCGAGTATTTCGCATCGATAATTCTGTTCGACGATTCTCTGGATGTACACTTTTGATTTTTGTTACTAGTAGAAATGTATTGTTAAAGAGTTCGATTTTTTTTGTAGATACTACAACTCTCTCTCTCTCTCTCTCACTCTCTCTCTTTGTATATATCTCGCGAGAAAAATAGCTAATTCTATGAGACAAACAGTTACATAATTCTAAACTGTCACTTAACTCGTGTGTACTCATATATGTGAATCTTATATTTGTGTGAATACGCGTGTTTAAAAGAATTACTATATATATGTATATATATATATATTGTACTAAGTGTATATATATGTACTAAATAATATATAGTATATATATACGTATATTAATTAATTATTTCTCTCACAAAGATTTATATATTACTTAAGGTTAATATACTTAAGCAACTAATGTCTACGAGATGAAGACCACCAACTTGTTTCTTCTGACTGTAAATTGGCAGCAATCTGATTGTTCAACGCAATGCTTTTGGATAAACGATCGATAGTAAATATGTATTGACGAGTAACGATTTATAGATTAGATCGAGAGACTCGCGCAGTTGATTGGTCAACATCTCACAACGTGAGATACATAGCACGTTCGTGATTTATCTTCACACATCAATGTTATCGTGAATATCATTAATTAATTTTTTTTTTTTACGACATATATTTTTTTTCAGAATATTTCACTCGTTTGATTCGAATGTGAGTATCGACTGAATGCGCGCAATTTGAGAAGAAATTACTAAGCGTGATCTAGAAAAGTGTTTGATAAAACAAAGATGTTCTGTTGAAAAGAAATCAGAGTAAGGATTGTGCGGTATTAAATACATACTTAACGCATACGAATTAAGTAATTCACGTTCTACGTAACGATTACGCGTTAATATAAAAAATGACTGTAGTTTCGAATTTTGCACATGTTTTGTTTCCGTCTCAAGCATGTGCCGGTTTTTTAAAATGCCTGTGATCACAAATGAAATAGCTGAATAGCTGAAATCGAACGCAAGATATTTGAGAACGTCTTCGGTAAAGCGCAAATTGCAAAAAACACTTGAAGATCCTGAAAGAAAAGGTTGGTCTCGCAAAATTGCAATTTTTACAGTAGAGACATTGTGCTCTGCATTTTTCACTTCGGGCAAGTTTGCGAAACAAACTCTCTCTGTGTTCTTCCAGCAACTTCGCTCCGATTCAATTCTGAACAATTACACGTGTTTTAACACGTGTT